TTTCAGTACTTGGATCAGGCCACCATGCTGTCTTATTTTCAGTCACCCCATTGGCTGTCCCTTCTCACTCCTCTTGGCTGGATATCCCTTATCTTCTTTCTTCTAAATGTCAGAGCCCTGGGCCCAGCTTTCAGCCCTTTCCTCTGTCCATAATCTCTCCCTAGCTCCTTCCATCTTGTTCTATGGCTATAAATATTAAAGCTGATAAGTTACACATTTACATCACCACTCCCACCTCCTCTTTGAGCTCCAGACCCAAATATTCAATTGCCCTGGAACTTCCACCTGGATATAAAAAGCATTTCAAGCTCAATGTGTCTCCCTCATCCTTTCTTTGTTTCTCCCCATTTTTTATTTTTAGAGATAGAATCTCACTTTGTCATCCAGGCTGGAGTGCAGTGGCATGATTTTAGCTCACTGCAACCCCCACCTCCCAGGTTCAAGTTATTCTCTTCCTCAGCCTCCCGTGTAGCTGGGATTACAGGTACCTGCCACCACGCCCAGGTAATTTTTGTATTTTTTAGTAGAGACGGGGTTTCACCACATTGGCCAGGCCGGACTCGAACTCCTGACCTCAAGTGATCTGCCCACCTCGGCCTAACAAAGTGCTGGGATTACAGGCATGAGCCCCTGTGCCTGGCACCCATTCCCTTTAATAGCATCATTGTTCACCGTGTGTTATCAGAACCCCAAGCACCATCCTTGATTCTCTTTCTCTCACACTTCACATCAGTTCACTAAGCAGCCTTATTGTCTCTATCTTCAAAATAAATCTTCATCTCAGTCATTCATTTACCTCCTCCTCCACTGCTGCCATCCTGGTCCTAACCCCACCCTCCCTCCTCTGAATTACTGCATCTTATTTCCCTGCCTTCCATCTTACCCACTACATGAGTTTTCTGCACAGGTATTCTTTTGAAAGTATTGAATCCTCTCATTTCCCATCACATTTTGAATGAAATCTAGACTTTTCATTCTGGTTTGCAAGTTCCCTCCTGACCCAGACCCTGCCCACCTCTCTGATCTGGTCTCCTTCTCCAGTTTCTTTCCCTCACTGCTGCACTCCGGCCACACTGCTGGTCCTCTAAGCACCCCTGTGGTGTGGTGGGACCTTCACACTCACTGTTCCTTCTGTTACCAGTCACTGATTAGAGCTTCACAGAGCTTGCTTGCCCCTTTCATCATGAAGGGCTTGGCTCAGAACTCACCTTACGGAGAGGCCGTCCTTGACCCCCCCCCCAGCTCATATAACACTTGCCCAAACATTGGAGAACCCAGCACACTCAGGTTACTCTTATGACCTTTTAATAAGCTCTTACTATAGTGCCAAGCATTGTATTAAGTGCTTACATGCATTATCTCATCAACCTCGGAACCACTGAAGGAGGCATTCTAATAATCCCCATTTTATGCATCAGGAAATGGAGGCTAAGAGAGGTCAAGTCCAAAGTCATTCAGCTTGCACTAAGGTCTGATTCTAGAATGAGGGCTCTTAAACCATTAGATTCAGCTGATTCAGCTGCTTCTCACTTTAAATTCTATTCTGAGTTATGGATTATATGGCTTCCAGGAGTTTAATTTACAGGATTGATTGGTTTCTATTGCACTTGTGTTTGAGCAGGTAAAATAACCCAGGTGTATCAGTGTGTGCTGGGGAGGGACTTCTTTTCCAAACTATGGTTTTAAACATTCACATAATATAAAATGCAGGTTAGGTAGGCACAAATTCAAGCATAGGTCAAGACCACCTCTCTGGTTTGTGCTTATAGACTTATTAAAGAAGATGAAGATACTTTGCTGTTAATTTTATGGTTTGAGGGGGCTCAAGCACTCAGAAGTTATTAAAGCTTTTAAGCATTTTTCCTCTTATTTTCTTTTAAAATCCTATTTCCTTTTAATCTATTTGGGGTTCAAAAAAGGGAAATAGATAAATAAATACCATCCTCTTTCCACATGGTGATTAGAGAGAAAATCCTTCATATGAGAAGCACTATAGTTTGAACGTGTTCCCCAAAGTTCATGTGTTAGAAACTAAATCCCCAGTGTAACAGTGTTGAGAGGTGGACCTTTAAGAGATGCCTCGGCCGGGCGCGGTGGCTCAAGCCTGTAATCCCAGCACTTTGGGAGGCCGAGACGGGCGGATCACGAGGTCAGGAGATCGAGACCATCCTGGCTGACACAGTGAAACCCCGTCTCTACTAAAAAATACAAAAAAACTAGCCGGGCGAGGTGGCGGGCGCCTGTAGTCCCAGCTACTCGGGAGGCTGAGGCAGGAGAATGGCGTGAACCCGGGAGGCGGAGCTTGCAGTGAGCCAAGATCACGCCACTGCACTCCAGCCTGGGCGGCAGAGTGAGACTCTGTCTCAAAAAAAAAAAAAAAAAAAAAGAGATGCCTCATAAATGGATTAATGCTGTTATCCCAGTAGTGGATTAGTTATCACAGGAGTGGATGCCTGATAAAAAGCATGAGTTTGACCCCCTTCCTCTCATGTGTGTGCACACGCTTTCTTGCGTTTCTGTAGGTCTGTCGACCTTGGATTTGCCAGACTCCACCACTGTAAGAAATAAATCTCTGTTCTTTATGAGTTACCCATTCTCAGGTATTCTGTTACAGCAACACAAAAAGAAATAGGACAAGAAGGGTCTATGTGCTGGTAAGAACACACACTTACCAAAGACCTACATGTGCCAGGCACCTTTCTGCCTTTATTGTCTCTCTGAGCTGGTATTATTGTCCCTCTTTTACATGTGAGGAAACTGAGGCACTTAGAAGATAAGCAACTGTCCCCATTCCAGAGCAGGAACTCCATAATTATCTGTCCCTTCCTTCCTTACCAGACAGCACAGAGTGTATTTATCTCCAGCATGCAACAGAATTGATTACCTGAGGCCCATTCTGTGAGACCTGTTCTCAGGGCTCTACAATTTAGTTTCACGTTATAAGAATAAAAAACACAAAAAGTGACTTCTCAGAGATCTGTGGGCCTTTCTGGAAGTGTTGTAAAAACCCAAAAGACAGCAAAGGAATTCAAAGTTCTACGGCTCTTCAGCTTGTAAACCTATGGGTCTGGTCAGGTCCCCATGAGATACCAGGTCATGCCAAATCCTCAGTTACACTGTGTAGCACTGCTGAGAACCGCACTGCTCTTAGGCACAGCAAGGACTCTTCTATCTCGGGCCTTTGTACTTGCTCTTTCTGCTCCTGGACCACTCTTCTATGCCCTTTGGTTCTCAATGCTCAAATGCCATCTCCTCAGAGAGGCCCTCCTGACTTCCCCACCAATTTCTCTCTAAGCCTTTACCCAGCTTATCTTTCTTCACAGCACACACTAAATTACATATTTACTTGTTTATTGTATCTCCTCTACTAGATGGAAGGTTCTTGAGGGCCAAGACTTTATCTGTTTTGTTCACTGCTGTATGCCTGGTGCCTGACATAGAATAAGTGCTCAGTAAATAATTGTTGAATAGGCCGGGTGTGGTGGCTTATGCCTGTAATCCCAGCACTTTGGGAGGCTGAGGCGGGCAGATCTTGAGGTCAAGAAATCGAGACCATCCTGGCCAACACGGTGAAACCGTCTCTACTAAAAATACAAAAATTAGCTGGGTGAGCTGGCACACGCTTGTAGTCTCAGCTACTCAGGAGGCTGAGGCAGAAGAATCTCTTGAACCTGGGAGGCAGAGGTTGCAGTGAGTGAAGATCATGCCACTGCACTCCAGCCTGGTGACAGAGCAAGACTCCATCTCAAAAAAAACACAAAAACCAAAAAACAAAAACACACAAATTCATGTTGCAAAATGTAATGGATATTTAAGAGAAATAAATGCCTACTCCTATCAAAGAGGAATAAAGCAGGAAAAGAGGCCCCAAAAGGGTACTACAGAAATCAAAAACCTTGCCTCAGATGATCAAAACGTTTAGGCTGGCTTTGCCAAAGCCATGAGAAACATGGACATTTAAAAGCACAAATTCATCTTGCAAAATGAAATGGGTATTTAAGGTAGTTCATTCATGCAAAAAGAAAAAAAAAAGAATCCAATCAACGAGTTTTCCTTAAATAGGTAGATTAGGTAGATTACTTAGGCAGTGTGTGGCTTATGTAAGTAGTAACCATATCATCTGCATCCTTTTGAGAAGAGCAGAAAGGCACTTGTACTCAAGCTGTCATCCTAACAAAGCAATTCATGGTTACAGACCCACCTCGAGTTGCCTCTGGCATATGTGGACTGTTGGGCAGTGCCCAGAAGTAGCACTGTGAAGAAGTCGCTTTGGCAGCAGGAGTTACAAAGTCCTTTGCTCACACACTTCAACTAATGTCCAACAACCGCCCCAAGACCGAGTCACATCTGCCCCACACAGTGCCTCTTCAAGCTTCAGGGCTCCTTGGAGCTAGGGTGGTGTATGAAGGGCCATTCTGTATCACGTCTCTAGGCCATATCCATTAAGGGATGACCTTGCTTTCTGCTTGAAGGTGTTTTGTTTTGTTTGAGACAGTTTCACTCTTGTTGCCCAGGCTAGAGTGCAATGGTGCGATCTCAGCTCACTGCAACCTCCGCCTCCCTGGTTCAAGCGGTTCTCCTGCCTCAGCCTCCCGAGTAGCTGGGATTACAGGCATGCACTATCATGCCTAGCTAATTTTGTATTTTCAGTAGAGATGGGGTTTCTCCATGTTGGTCAGGCTGGTCTTGAACTCCCGACCTCAGGTGATCCGCCCGCCTTGGCCTCCCAAAGTGCTGGGATTACAGGCGTGAGCCATCGTGCCCAGCCTCTGCTCTAAGTTCTAAATAATTCGGTTATCTATACATTCAGCCAGAAACTAAGAAGCCTTGAAAGGACTTTCCAGAAACTGGAGAAAATATCCTAGGCCTGGAGTGATCGTTAGTCACAATCCAGGGCAGGCTACCCCAGTTCTTGGGGACTCCTCCCTAGCACTGGTTACTGAATGAAGAGGGCCCTCCTCCTTTTTCCTTTCTGCTGCCTCAGCCAGCACACAGATCCTTTTTAAGGATTTTATTTCAAATCACCATGTGGAAATAGGGTTAAACAAACAGACAAACATACAAAAGTCACAAAGGTTGCAGGGTCTTGAAAAGCTCTTACACTTATTGCCCTGGAACAATTCTTGACTCCTTTCTGAGATGGTAACTGGCAGCCCAGTTAAATGTCTGTTTTCTGTTTTTACTTCAGAAAGCAGAAATCACAGAATCTCTTGCTTCCTTGTTCCAGGCTTTCTGGAGACCCAGACAGACCCTTTCTTCCCTTAAGACAGCAGATGTCACTGGAATGCTAAGTGATTGTTTATCTAAAATGCAATTTTAAAAATTTCTTGTCTTTCCCTGACACTTGGCAACATGCTGTGTCCATAGTAGAAGCCCAGAGGATCCTACCTATTGATGGGTAGTTAGAAAAAGACCTAAGTGGACTTCACTTTGAGATTCTCCTCAGTACAGACTGAACAACTTGTTGCTTTGTTCTGAGGCTGCCCCAAGTAGCCATCCTACAAGTTGGTAAGAAACAACATTCTTTAGCAGCCTCGATGCCACTCGCAGGGTGATGGCCACAGCCTGCTTTCATAAGCAGGAGGCAGAGGCATTAGTTGCATTGTATCTGTTTGTTGGTGTGAATGTGGTCCTGCACTGTGAGTCTTCAAAACAAAACTTGAGGTTGAATCCCTTTTGTTAGGGTAGATAAGGGAGTGTATTGAGCTCCATGGAAAACAGACAGGAGGACTCTGACAGATGGGGAAAGGGTCACCCCCACAGCAGGGGGTCAGCCTGGAAGTGGGTACTATAGCAACACGCTAAGAATTATTCTGTGAATTAAGGGATGGTTGGATTCACTGGATCTGCCCAGGCGGGGAACCTGGCTGGGTCTTTGTCAGTGAACAGATGAAAAGCTTGCTTGCATTTGTGTAAGTTGACAGTTTGGTTGTGTTCAGACAGCTCTACGCTATGGAGATGACATTACTCCTGAGTTTTACTGCATGCATTTATGTAAATCAGTGGCATACCAGGGAGGGTGACAGAAGGAGTGATCTGCCCCAGCTACCGGCAGTACACAGTAAATTTGTGTGTCTGCAAAGAATTTTAAAATAAAATTGACTAAAAGTCAGTTTGCTTTTTATTATTATGCTCCAACAGTTCCAAACAATGTGGTAAAATACTCCTCCCTCCTAGGGACAGACTTTACCTATGCTGCCCCGAGGCACTCCCTCCTTGGTGCACCACTGGGATAAACAAGCACCAGGTGGGAAGAGTATAAATCAGCAAGAGAGTAAACAGAAAGCAAGTGACTCCTGAGATGAGATGTTTTCATCACAAACACTCTATTTGGTAGAGCTTAGAGTCATTGATCTGTGATGGGCATTTCTGTTAGCTTTGTGTTTCGGTTATCTATTGCTGCTTTAAAAACTACCCCAACATTTAGTGCCTTAAAACAATGATCATTTACTTGTTCACAATGCTGTCATTTTGCAGTGCTCCGTGGGGATGGCTTATCTCTGTTACATATGGTGTCTGCTGGAGCTGGAACTTCCTAAGGGCTTTTCCACTCATGTGTCTCATAGCTCAGCTGGGAAGAGCTAGAGCTGGCCAGGCATCTTTCTTTTCACATGGCCTTTCCCTGTGGCTAGCAGGGTGGTCTCTCCTTATGAGTGGCTGGCATTTTCCAGAGTACAAAGCAGAAGCTATCGGGTTTGCTTAAATGCTTTTGCTTAATGCCAAGGCTTGGAAGTCTTAGAACATTCTTTCTGCCACATTCTATTGGTCAGAGCAATCACAGGGTCAGCCCAGATTCAAAGGGAAGAAAAATACACCCACTTCATGATGGAGATACTGTTGTGGTCATCTCTGGAAAAATGATCTACTTCATATTGTTTTCTTCTATCATAACAAGATCGTATGATTTCACATGTTGCTTTAACCATGATAAACCTTGTCAAACTGGAAAAAGGTAGGCCTTTTTCTTTTTAAAAATCAGCCCCTTGTAATTGTCATACCTTGATTCTGAATGTGGAGATGGCCTCTTCAATGGATTCCTAGGGAGAAACAAGAGATCATAGGGCTCCTACCTCAGCATTTGGGAGAAAATATTAGAATGAGCCTGATTTGCAAAAACCTAAAGTCCAAAGCATGTTCAAGTCTGTGAGACTATCTAGATCACAGTTTTAGCTCTTTCTCCCAAGACAAGGTCCAATGACCATCATATTTCGATCATTACTCCTTGGTGTCTGACAATTCTCTGCACTGCAATTTACATCCTTTAAAACCAGTACTGTTGAAAATGGACTGACTATGTTGTGAGGGTCAGAATATGAGTGTCTTTCAGATACTGTAATGTGACAGGAATCCCTCGAGGGTTGCTATACAGTTCACCCCGGGTCACAGAACTACATCCCGGTCCAAACAGTATCCACATTAGAGCTAATAGGCATCAACGTCACTCACCTGCCTTTGCCAGACAGTTAATCCACCTATATGCGGACAGAGCCTTGGTTTGGAAAACACGTTCATGCCCACTGTCTCACTCTCTTGTCACTATAAATAACCTGGTGAGTTGGCAGGCCCGGCGTGAATGCCCACACTTTGCAGTATGCAAACAGAACAGAGGGCTAAGTTCCCTGGGTCACATGAGAGCTGGGCTGCAGCGCCTGGGGAGGCGGCCCTTCCCGCCAGGTGCGCTTGTTGTCCGCTGGAGCAGAGGCCCCCGAGCCTGCTGACCTCTCTGCCTTCAGGCCTGGTCTCGCAGTCCCTTGTGCCTCGTCTATAGGCAGGCGGAATCCAGAGCGTACAGCAAGCCCGGCCAGCTCTTGGTGGCGGTTTCTACAGCAGGTGGGGCCTGGCTCCGTGACTGAATGGCCTCCATCCCTCTATCTGGGGCCCAGCAGCGGCCCCCTCCCAGCACCCTGGCTGCACATCGAACCCTAGGCAGGCCAGGTGGGGCTCCCGGAGGCGTTAGCCCCAGCCCTCCCAGGATTCTTAATGTTCCTCTCACAGCAGAAAACGTTCTGCGCCCTTTGTGCCTCAAACCCTCGACCCCTCACTCGGCCAGAAGGGTCGCTGAGGGGGAGCTCCTCCTCTGCCCTTCCCGTCGCCGGCCGGTTCTTCCTAGCCCGCCTGCTACGCGCCCCGCTCCCGCTGGCTCCCGGGAAGCCGGCCCCGGCCCCAGCGCTTCCCTCCCAGGCCTAGCCCCACTCTCCCACCCTTCCGCTCGCCCAGGCCTCCACGCTCGGATCCCGGTTTTTGTTGCCCGGGCTTGTTTCGGAGCTGAGCGCGCCGCCGGCCGGGCGCCAGGTCACGTGCGTTGGTGACAACCTCTTGCAGGGCGGCCCCGGGGCCCCCGCGCCGCCGATTGGTGGGGCCCGGCCTGGCGCGGCCCGGGGCGGGGCAGCGGGGCTGGACGGCGGGCGGAGCGGCCGATCAGCTGTTGCGAGCGCTGCACAACAACAAAAGGACTTGGACTGACCGGCCTGGGTGCCGCGACTCGAGGGCTGGAGTCGGCCCAGCGCCTGCCGTCCGGGGACCTGAGCGAGGGGAAGCGCAGCCCGGCCCCACCGCAGCTACCTCAGCAGTCCCGCGCCACCCGCGTCCTTCCCCGCCTAGCCGGCGGCCGCCCCCTTCCCCGCGCAGCCCCGCACGGCCCGGGCCCACGTAAGTGCCGGGGGACGGGCGGACGTCCAGGGCCGCCTCGCTGCCAGTTGGGGCGGCAGCGCTGCCCGCTCCCGACCCCGGCGGGGCTGGCCGCGCGCCCTGCCTTGGGGCGCCGGTTGCGCTTCGAACCTCCTCGCTGCCTCCCCTCGCCGTCGCCGGGCCCGGCCGCCCACCCTGTCGGTTGGTCCTCGGCGGCCCCCGGGGCCCAGAGCGCGAACGGAGGCTGACAGAGGCAGCGACGGCGGCGCGGACAAGGGCCCAGCCTGGCCCCGGCGCTGGGCGGCGGTTGGGTGTTTGGTCTCTACCTCCTCCCCCGAGCGTGGCCTGTTTTCTTGGCCGCGGCGGGACCTCCTCCTCTCACTCCTCCTCACTCCCCTCCACTCCTCCTCCTCCGCCTGCGCTCGGCCGTTGGATGGGGCCGCCCGCTCGGCATTCGGCGTCAGGGCTCCCGCGGCCACCTCCGGGACGCATCTCCCGAGACAGAGGCGGTTGGGCTTGTGGCCCGGCGCTCTGTCCTGGCCCTGCCATCCTGTCCCCCGCGCCTGCCCTCCGAGCTCCGGAGGCCCTGCGGCTACGGGGAACCTGCTGCGTGACCCGGTCACCGGCCCCCGCCTGTCCGCGGCCTGTCCCTTGACCGGGCTTGATCTCACTCTTCGCTACCTGCCTTTGCACCTGTGGAAAGAGTACTCTCCTTGGCCCTTAACATTGAGATCCTTTGAATCGCTCACACTTACTGAGCGCTGAGTATGTGCCATATACTATGTTTTATTGCCCCAGTTGATTCTCATAACCCTATGTGAAATAGGCCCGGCTATCTTACACATAGGAAACCCAAGGCACAGAGAGATTAAGTTGCTTAAGGCCACACAACCAATTAATAAAAGGAAATGGTGTTTGTATTTCACAGTGGCAGCCGAATTTTACCTGGAGAGCCTTTGTTTTGCTTGTATTTCCTGATTATATCTGCTCAGTAGGTTAATTCCAATTCAGAATGGATTAAGGAAGAGCCTTTTTACAACTGTGACTCCCAAGGACTTGGGCACATTGCTAAAAGAGCCTTTTCTGAATGCACAATAGTTTTGGGAAAAGGGGGGAAAATGTGACCCTTGGGGTCATTGAACAGAAGTCATAATCAGTTCCCCCAAGATACTGAAATCACCAGCTTGGTAATTGAAACACATTTTCATTTGCAGATGTGGAAAGCACTGGGAAGCTTTTAAGTCGCAATCAGTGTAATTCTGAACTGGCAGCATAATTTTAAAAGGCCCCTGCCTGGAACCAGGACCTTACTAATTTCTGTGACCAAGGACTTGTTTCCTCATCCTATCTTTTGTTCTTTTCTGCCATTGCTTCCTCCGATTTCTGGTTTCAAAATTCAAGATTATCAGGCTGTGAATTACCACTTACTCTTGTCTTTGTCCACTGTCTTTTAGCCTTAAGGGCAGGCAGGGGTGGATCCCTGGGGAAATAACCTCCCTTGCATACTAGTTGAACAGACTTCATATAAGTTGAACAAGCAAAGACAACTTTCTTGGCCTGGGTTTTTCTGCAGTTCAAAATCCATTTTAAATTACTTGAATCTAGTCTTCATATAAGTGGAACAAGCAGAGATAACTTTCTTGGCTTGGTTTTTCTCCAGTTCAAAACCCATTTTAAATTACTAGAATCTGCATGTTTTTAAAATAGTGGAAGAGGGTGGGATAAAAAGAAGGAATTCTGAGGCTGCTTTTCAATGACGGTACGTTTAGCCACCTGATTTCCTGAAACTGTGAAGGAGCCACAACTGTACACAGATTTAGAAGTTAGATCATCAAACTTGCGGTTTTTTTTTTTTTTTTTTTTTTTTTTTTTTTTTTTGATGTTTTTTGGAGCCGCCTACTGGCAGCCAAAACTAACTGAAAAGGGCTGTTTTCTGAAGTTCAGAGACCCACAGTTGAGACTAGGAGCTTAAAAGAGCATGTGTAGGGAAAACAAGGAATTGGAATCAGATGGATTTTTGCCCTAATGCTGACTCCACCCCAACCAACTCTGTCACTTTTGAACAAGTTAGTTAATTCCTCAGCCTGCTCTGTCACTTTTGAACAAGTTAGTTAATTCCTCAGCCTGGGTTTCCTCACCAGTAAAATGGGACAAATAAGTACTTCAAGGCCCCATTACATACAATAAGCATTCTGTAAATTGTAGCTAATTATTAAGTAGACGTTTTATGGATAAACTCAAATGCAGCAATGCCGAATGACTTGTTGACAGTCTCACAACTGGCTTTGAATGAATTTGTAGTTAATATTTACTCAGGTCTGCTATTCTAAGTAGTATACACTTAATCCTTACACTGGCACTGTGAAGTAGGTATTATAACTGTCATTCCCATGTTAAGAATGAGAAAACAGACACCAAGATGTTAGTAAATATCCTGAATTCACATAGGTTGCATGTAGCAGAGCCAAGATTTCAAACGGAGCAGGCGAACTCCATGGCCTGTCTTTTTTTTTTCTTTTTTTTTCGAGACGGGTCTTACTCTGTTGACCAGGCTGGAGTGTAGTGGTGGGATCATAACTCACTGCAGCTTCAAACTCATGGGCTCAAGCGATCCTCCTACCTCAGCCTCCCGGGTAGCTGGGACTACATGTGCATACCACCACACCCAGCTAATTTATTTTTTGTAGAGATGGGGTCTTGCTTTGTTGCCCAGGCTGGTCTTGAACTCCTGGCTTAAAGTGATCCTGCTGCCTTGGCCTCCCAAAGCGCTGGGATTATAGACATGAGCCACTGCGCCCAGCCTCAGAGCCAGTCTTTAAGTACCACAACATACTGCCTCTTGGTGGGCTACCTATCTTAAAAGTGAGAAAATAAATTATGCTAACAAGATCTTCCAAACTAGCAGTTTCTTTTGTAAGTGGTCAAACTAGAATGCTTTTCCCCATGAGTATTAGACTCCATCAGCCACCTTTCTCTGCCTACAAAGCATCTCTACTCATGTAGTAATATGCAAACCATTGATGATAAAATGTTAAGTAACAGTGAGATACAAAACAGTGCATTCACAAGATAAAAAGAAACCTTATCCATAGAAGAAAACAGAAGAAAAGGCACCAATATGTTAAGTGATGGGAACAAAGCAATGGAATAATACTTATTTTTCTTATTTTCTAGACGTTTTATAATGTCTTGTTCAGTTTATAATTAAAAAGACATAATTTATTTTTTAAAGGGAGGGATGGAGGTCTTTTGAGCCAAGCAGAACAGGGACAAAGCTGCCTTCTTGAAATGCTAGGGCCCAGACACTTTGTTTCTTTTCTGTATTTGGGGGTTCTTTTCTCTGCTGGGGAAACTGCTGGGCTGAGGCTGGTTAAAGCTGAAAGCTTGCAGGTGCCTTAAAGAACAACAGCGCTACTCCACCTAACCTGCTTTGCTTCACCTCTTTGCTGAATTCCAGAACTGGATTTGTAAGTTTGTCCTCTTAGGACACATACTTTCTCTGGAATTTTTATTTTCGTTCTATGATTGCCCTCGTGTTGTGAATATTAGTGATGATCTGGAGAGCAGAGGAGTCTAAAGCTCTACTTTTCCATTTACCTCCACGTAGAACCAGCCCAATTGACAGCCTCCATCCCTGGGCAGGAGCCAAGGTCAACAGTAGCAGTGACTGGGCAGGGATAGTCTCTGGGTCATCAGTAGGAAGGTAGACCTTTAAGACTTTTTCTAGAACTGCCCTGTTCAACAGAAATAAATAATGTGAGCCATATGTATGTTTGAATTTTCTAGTAGCCATATTAAAAAAGGAAAAAGAAACTGGTGAAGTTAATTTTATTAATGTATTTAATAATACTAAAATTATTTTTTCAACATGTAATCAATATAAAAACTTCTGCATTTTGGGGGGGTACTAAGTCTTTGAAATACACTCTAGTGTGTATTTTACACATAGAGCACATCTCAATTCAGATACAAAGTTTTCATTTGAACTACTTGCTCTATATTTAGACATAAAATTTATAGGTGAAAAAGTGGATTAATGCACGCTAACTGTTCCAAACATACTTGAAAGTTTTCAGAAAACTAAACTATCAGCTTTTAAGTTTAACTAGATTAAACTTAGTAAATGGATTAACTAGTAAAACGAAAAATGCAGTTTCTCGATGATACTAGTCACATTTCAAGTGTTCATTTACACAGTGTGCCTGGTGGCTACCTCAATGGACAGTTTTAGCAATGCTGGGAGGGTCTCTCCAATAGCTCCTTGCCTTTTGTGACACCTGTGGGAAGCAGGGCCAGGGGAACTTAGCTTTGCTAGTTAAACCAGCCTCACTTTTTTGTGCTAGAAGTTTGTGGGGAAAGAGAGTGAAACGAGGTGATTCAGCACAGTCTCCCTATTTTCCCAATGGTGAGACTGAAGCTCAGAAGGGCCAGTTTAGCTCCAGCCACCTGTGGTAGAGCCACAGCAAGAACTGCTGCTGTGGATGACCAGGCCCCTTTCACCCTCCCCAGGAACTCCATTCTGTGTTCTTCCCATGGGTGTCAGCAGATGTGCCATGGAAACACCAGCAGTAGCTTGGGTGAGATGAAGGACGAGCTCCTCCTTCACTTGGCTGGGCTTCTCAACACTCTATTGCCCAAGGTTGGTTGTCCTTGCAGAGATATGGGACATCTGGAGGCAGCCTCTGACTTTGGGAAACCAAAAGAGCACTGACTTGTACTGCTCCCTAGAAAGCTCCTCCAGAGAAGCCTTTCCTGTAGCTGACTTGCTATTTGTGTATATTCCAGGCAGAAGCTGCCTTCCTGGGTTTGGAGCTGTGGCCAGAGGGGGCAATTTGCATGTGGGAACCCAGCAGCTGCCAGAACTGCAGTGGCCCCAGCAATGTTTTCGGCCTTATAGCTGCCAGTTATCTGACCTGGGCCCCAGTGCCTTACTCTCATGCAGCATCACAGGTAGGGGACAAGGCATTCGTTCATGATGAGCAAAGGTTCCCCTGTGTGGTTCTCCCCTCCCAGTGTCTTTAGCTGATTCAGGGCTGGAGTCCAGCACTATGCTGGAGAATTGGGCTTATTCTCTCAACTGGTTCAGCAGATACAGAATTGTACGTGGGGCCAATATCTGCCTCCACAATTTAAAATAAAATGGAGGAAGAATTTTGAAAATATGTTTTTCCCTCCTAGCATGTATCCTCAAAAATCTTTATTTACATCAGACCTTATGATAACTCATTTTGGGATATAACTGTCACACCACAGCGGGTCAAACAAACTATACAGCCCACTTTTCTTCTGATTTCTCTTACATAGAGCATAAAGCTAACTTTGAATTCTGCTATAGCTCCAGCCTTCATGATTTGGCCGTGTTGCTTTCCAGAAGGTTTCAGGAAGACTGGTTATGCAAGTGACACTTCCTGTTTACCCATTTTTAATCATTAATGGCTGAAGAAGATGAATTGTGACCACAAAGTGTTCTAATGTCATTTATTTGAAATGTTTTACTTGTGTAGTAGTGTGCCAAACACTTGTAGCAGTCCAGTTTACACACAACAAACTGAACCAGGAATCTCAGCTACAGATCCCAACTACTTTTACAGCTAAAGATTACTTTTGAAAGTGAACTGTCAGGAGCCTGAAGTTGTAGATTCAAGGCTGATGCTTGTGATAAAAAGAGGTGGTGATTAGTGAGGTGCATTTCTTCAGCCCTGGCTGATCTCATCCATATATATAACTTTTTTTTTTTTTTTGAGACAAGGTCTCGCTGTGTCACTCACATTGGAGTACAGTGGCACAATCATAGCTTACTGCAGCCTTGAACCTGGACTTGGGATCCTCCCACCTCAGCCTCCCAAGTAGCTAGGACTACAGGTGCACACCACTGCACCTGGCTAATTTTTAAAATTTTTTTGTAGAAACAGGTTCTTATTTTGTTGCCCAGGCTGGTCTCCAACTCCTAGGCACAAGCATTCCTCTGGCCTCAGCCTCCCGAAATGCTAGGATTGCAGACATGAGCCTCCACATATAGCCTCATCCATTCCTATGCTTTTTATCACCGTCTTTGTGTCAACAGCTCCCAAATCTGTGCCCCTAGCTGAGACAACACTCCTGAACTCCAAAGCTCTATATCCCGCTGCCTGCTGGACATCTCCAGCTGCATTATTTTGCATATTCCTCCAATTTACCATTTTCGAAATGCCTTATCTGTGCTTTCTGCAGTATTCATTCCTATTTCCCTAAATGGTTCCACCATCCCCTCAGTAGGCCAAGCCAGAAACCTGGGTCTTTGACTTTTCCCTTCCCCTTTTCCTGGCTTACAAGGCTCTGCAGGACCTGGTTCCTGCTCAGCTCCCCTAGCCTGCTCTTGTGACCCTCCCTCTGCACCTTGAGTGGTACTGAAGGTGCCACATCCTCACTCATGCGCAGGCTTCCATAGTGTTCCTTTGCCCCCTTCCTCCATTAGTGACCTCAGCCACTCGAGAAAAGTCATTTATTGCAGGAGTCCACCCAGGTGGCCTGGAGAACACCAAATACTTCTTCCATGGCATTCATCACACTGGATTGTTAAACTGGTGGGAGGGCCCTTTTCACAGCTGTCTCCCCTGTGCCCAGCACTGTACCTGATGCATAACAGGTACTCAGTAAATACTAGACTAATAGTTGACCTGGACTGAGGACTTTATTCTAAGTATTTTGCTAAGTCCGTTGTCTTTAACAAGAGTAGGATCAGGGAGACTGTCTAGTAGGCGGTTTTGACAAAGTCTCAGACAACAGTTTGGCTTAAACTAGGATGAGAGTGGTGGAGGGAAGCAGGCAGATTCGAGCTGCCTGTGCTGCTGGGGTTGACGGGACTTGCTGATGGTTGGGATGGGGGTGGGTAGGAGGGAGCAAAAGGCGTGCAGGTGCGGTGGCTCACGCCTGTAATACCAGCACTTTGGGAGGCTGAGGCAGGCGGATCACGAGGTCAGGAGATTGAGACCGTCCTGGCCAACACAGTGAAACCCCGTCTCTACTAAAAATTGCAAAAAAAAAATTAGCCGGGTGTGGTGGAGGGTGCTTGTAGTCCCAGCTACTCAGGAGGCTGAGGCAGGAGAATGATGTGAATCTGGGAGGCGGAGCTTGCAGTGAGCCGAGATCGCCCCACTGCACTCCAGCCTGGGCGACAGAGCAAGACTACGTCTCAAAAAAAAAAAAGGCATGAAGGCTGACTTGCTAGAGTGTTTGGCCTGAATAATTGCCAGCTGCTGCTGCTTCCTGAGAAAGGGATGAAGGGCACTGTATATGAATAAGTTTGTGGGGAAAAAATTAAAAGCTATCTTTTAATTTTTGTATCTTTTAATTTTGGTATGTGTCTGGTTTGATATGCCCATCAGGTTGCCAGGTAGAAATGGATAAATAAATCTAGAACTCTGGAATAGGATTAAGCAAGCCTGGAGTTTCTCATTTAGAACTCACCAGAACTCCCTAAGGTAGGAGCTGTTGCCAACTGAAGTCACATAACTTCCTAACTCAAACAGCAAGTAAGCAGTCAGCCAGGGTTTGAATGCAGGTGGCTGACCTCAGCACCCACCTGCTGAGCTGCCACATAGGAAGCGTGTTTCCAGTTCTAGGTTTGGCCAAGCTTAGTTCTCTGCAGTGTAAATTTTTTCATGCCAGCTGTAGGAATTTAGAAGGTCAAAGTGTGCTTGCTGGGCTTACAGATTTTAAGTGTAATCAGGTATGATTACAGTTATAGACAAGAAGTACAGAGTAGAAGAGAAAATGAGCCAGAGGAGGGTGAGGGCCTGGCATAATGGTGATCACCAGGCACTGTTGCTGGGACTTCTGGGCAGTTGAATAACATATACCAAGACTGTTAATATCTACAATTTGCTCATCTGCTTGCAGAAAAGTTTGAAGGATATTATTCAAATTCATCCCTTATTATAAAAGCATAGATATGAAAAAGAACCAACTCTTTCCCTTTTTTTTCACATTTTAAGATATTTATAGGTTGAATTTGAGTATTTACAAAACATTATGTTGCATTTCTTGTGTTTGACTCTTGCAGAAAGGGAATAGCTGTAGAATGTAGGCCAAGGTATATGCTTTTTTCTAAGGGTATGTGTGTATGTACTTATATACATATGTGTATGCTGATTTGAAATAACTTTCTTTTTATGTTTTATTTTAGGGATAATGACTCTTCTTGCTTTTCACCTAAGTTGATAAGCACCCTGTGCACTTTAATCTCCTGTCAGTACCATCGGGCCAACTGAAGACAAGGTTTTGAAATCTCAGCTGTAAAAGACATCCAGCCAAACTCTCAGTCTTGCCTTAACAATGTTCCAGAGGCTGAATAAAATGTTTGTGGGTGAAGTCAGTTCTTCCTCCAACCAAGAACCAGAATTCAGTGAGAAAGAAGATGATGAATGGATTCTTGTTGACTTCATAGGTAAGGTACACTTGGTTACTTGGTGGTTCATCTTCACAGTAAAAATGGAAACTTGCATCTCAGTTTTTGCATAAGAAAACCAGTAACTGAGGGTTTTTAAGCCTTAAAAGTAAGCAGGAGTTTGTCTTTAAAAAATTACAGGAAACCACCTGGGCTAGATAATGTCAGTGAAATTGACTGACATCAGTTTTTAGTTTTGCAACTCTTACAGATTGATTAGATCAAGGGCACTTCAATAGAAGACCCTTGTATTAGACAGGTAGTAACCCATCTGGCTCATTACACAGCAGAATAGAAACAGTCTTAAAATCACTCCTGCAAAACCAACATAATCCATCCCATATAATCACACACACACACACACACACACACACACAATTTCTGTGCTCAGAAATAATTTTATAATCATATAGATGAATATAAATGGGTTTGTTTCTGAACTAAATAAAAGAAGATATGTGAGCATCAGCTAATAGTATCATTTCTTCTTTTTTCTGTGCTGTGAATTTGATGGGTGACTTTATAATGACTGCCCAATGTGATAATCATCCTCCTGTGGGACTCTTCTACAACACACATGGACGGTAATATGGACTACAATCTAGATACTTGCACTGGCTTCTCAGCAGAAGAAGAAGAAGAAGAGGAGGAGGACATCAGTGAAGAGTCACCTACTGAGCACCCTTCAGTCTTTTCCTGTTTACCGGCATCTCTTGAGTGCTTGGCTGATACAAGTGATTCCTGCTTCCTCCAGTTTGAGTCATGTCCAATGGAGGAGAGCTGGTTTATCACCCCACCCCCGTGTTTTACTGCAGGTGGATTAACCACTATCAAGGTGGAAACGAGTCCTATGGAAAACCTTCTCATTGAACATCCCAGCATGTCTGTCTATGCTGTGCATAACTCCTGCCCTGGTCTCAGTGAGGCCACCTGTGGGACTGATGAATTACATAATCCAAGTAGTCCCAGGTACGTTACAAGTATTTTAACTCTCTGTAGGCAGTCCACTGAGCATGCATTTTGTCTCTAATTCAAACCTAAGTTATTAGAAGATGCAAAAGTAATTTTATTAGAGATTTATGAAAGCATGTGTGTGCACAGTACACAAGATGATCCGTAAGATAACTTGTTGACTGGTCATGGTGTCTCACACCTGTAATCCCAGCACTTTGGGAGGCCTAGGCAGGCAGATCACTTGAGCTCAGGAGTTCAGGACCACCGTAGGCAACATGGTGAAACCCTGTCTGCACAAAAAATAACAAAAAATTAGCCAGGTGTGGTGGTGCACACCTGTAGTCCTAGCTACTCAGGAGGCTGAGGTGGGAGGATGGCTTGAACCAGGAGGCAGAGGTTGCATTGAGCCAAGATTGTGCCACTGCACATCAGCCTGGGTGACAGAGCAAGACTCTCTCAAAAACAAAAACAAAAACTTGTTCATTTTCGATTTTTTAAGAAAGTTAGATGTAGCATGGCCCCAGTTATATAATAGCATTCTCATTTACAAAATTCTGCTACTGATTAGAAATAAGACTGGCATTTCTGCTAAGTATCTTAGAACATAACTCTGACTTTATAGACTGGATTATTTAGGGTATCAAATTCAACTAGAATATTATGTCTTAAAATTTATTTTCTTCTAAGTATTTCTAGCTACGTCGCATCAAATGATGTAACCTTGAAAACCTTGTCTGAGAATTTAATGAACTCAGTTTCTTACTGCAGTCCTCACACTGCACAGTCACCCAGTGCTTCTGACACCAGATGTGTGGGTTTTTTCCACACACCGCAGTCCTCCAGCAGTGGACACTCTCTAGTGTCCCATAGGTTGAAGGCTTAGTCCCAAAAGACTGCCTCCCATTTCCGATGCCAATCTCAAGCCCCCGGTTTTATTTATGCTTCTGACCAACCAGCTGTAAACTGGTATTCCCATGACCCCTTCCTTGGGTTTGATTAATTTGCTAGAACATCTTATAGAACTTGGGAGAACATGTTTTCCGGTTTATTATAAAGGATACAGATGAAGGGATGCATAAAGCAAGGCGTGTGGGGAGGGCATGGAGCTTCCATGTCCTCGGCGCACCCCACCCTCCAGGAAACTCCACATGTTAGCTCTCCAGAGGCTCCCTGAATCCAGTACTTTTGGGGTCTTATGGAGGCATCAGTACATCGGCATAATTGATTAAATCATTGGCCATTGGTGATTGGCCTAACCTTCAGACCCTCTCCCCTCTCTGGAGTTTGAGGGGTGGGGCTAAAAGTCCCAACTCTAACTTGGTCTTTCTAGTGACCAAATCCCATCCTGAAGCTGTCTAGTTGCTGCCAACCACCAGTCAACTAATTAGCATGCACTTTCCATGTTGGAGGTTCCAAGGATTTTAGGAGTGGTATGCCAGGAGACTGACAAGACTGAATATGTATTTTACAGTATATATATTTTACAGTCCAGCCTCAGTCTTCAAACTTGGATTCCTTACAACAAAAGGATATGGAACTCAAAAACTACTGGCACAACACCGGAATCCCATTCAGTCTATAATTCATTACATCCGTCATTGTATTGTATGAGCATGTCTCCCAGGGCGAGGCCACTCAGGTTTGCAGGTTTATTGATCTTGCTGGTTTCCAAAAGCAGAAATGGTTTTGGCAAACATGTAGCTTCACCCTTTCAGGCATCTGGTATACCTGGGCTTAAAGACAATGTCATCTTTTTCTCTGAGCCTGTTTCAAGGTATTAATATGATGAATTGATCCCAATCATAACCTATTTATTCATTCTTTTATCCTCTTTTTCTTCATTTATACCCAAACTTTTCCATCTCTGGAAGGGATGTTAGGTTTAGCCACTGTGCTGGTCTAGATTGCAGGTAGCAATACTAGTTTAGCAAGTACCTCTCCCTCAGTCCACTCCCATTCAGATAGAGTAAGGTGACATAGGTACAAAATTAGTGGGCTGTTTTTACCACCAGACAATATAGCTGCGTTCATTGTTGACTCCAGTTTTGCAAGATGGGGTGTAGGTAACCCCATAAGGGCCTTAGGACTTTTGACATGAGGTTTAAAAACATAATTACAGCTTCTTGCTCAGGAACCATCCCTGCTTCCAGTACTTGTAGTTACAGCACTGGTCCTAGGACGATTGCATCTGGTAGAGGGAAAAAAAATGAGGTGATGTGGGAAAGAAAGAAAAAGTTAAAACCATTATACTAGCACACTCAACCCTTGGCTAGAATTGCATAAGTCATACCAGCATCCTCCCTATCCCTTCTTCCTCATATCACCAGAAAAACAGGAAAATCTTGTGGGGACAACCAGCCCTTCATTCTTTTATCCCCCCATTTTGTTTTTGGGTTTTGTTTTGTTTTGTTTTGTTTTTTTGAGATGGAGTCTCACTCTGTCGCCCAGGCTGGAGGGCAGTGGCAGGATCTCGGCTCATCACGACCTCCGCCTCCCAGGTTCAAGTGATTCTCCTTTCTCAGCCTCCCAAGTAGCTGGGATTACAGGCACTCGCCCCCATACTTGGGTAATATTTGTACTTTTAGTAGAAAGGGGGTGTCACCATATTGGCCAGGCTGCTCTCGAACTCCTGACCTTTGGTGATCTACCGCCTCTGCCTCCCAGAGTGCTTTTGGGCATTATGGGCTATATAGTGTGTCCTTTGGTTTGAAGAAATGACAGTCAACTATCTACATCCATGCAGTATCTTCTGTTCTGGGTTTTTTATGGCACTCTGAGCATTTGCATCTTCCACTGGGTAAGTAAAGCCCACTCCAGAGACTGTCTCTTCTTCTCAAGACCCATTTGTAGCTCCCCAGGGATACCAGCACCAGTCTCACTTGTTGCTATGCTCAGGGCCTTCCCACCGGGGAATCTGCCCCTCATCAGTAGTCTGTCTCTTTTGCTGACTGGCAAAACGGTTCTCATTGGTATTTGTGCCTGAGAGGGTAGAAGAGGAATGTCTAGATGCAGCCCGTCTCTGCATTGCCTGTACCACTCATTTAATGAACCCAGGAGGGCACCTCTAGGGAGCACATGGGGATATATCTGCTTCCAGTCCCAGTCACCTTCCAAACCTGGAAGGGAGTTCTTCTGATGGCCATTGGCACATCCTAATGTACCCCTCAGATTTCCATACGGTTGTGCTCACTATGGAAGCCATCCCTTTAAAAGTCCAGGTTTTCATTGTGATTCTGCCTGACCATGTCCATTGACCACTGCTCATGAGTCAGTAAAAACCCAAACCTAGGGGCTTCCGTCATCGCTAGGAAACCAGCATGCAGTTCAACCCACAGAGCCGATTTGTTTTTACCTCCTTTGATCAAAGTAGCATCCTTCCAAACAGGATGCTGTCTGTTCACCTTGGAACTGCCATGCACAACCAAGCAGCTCTTTGTCAGTCAGTTGAGAGCTACTAACACTGTAGAATCCAGCTCCTCACACAGTTCCAGAGTCAGTCCAAGGTGGAGAGAGGCTCCCTGCTTGTGGGAGCCTCCTTACATTCCCTACGTAACATGATCCTGTATAAACCATTTCCATTTTTTATGGAACTCTTCTGGGCACTGCCCTCCCAATTAGTGTTTCTCTGATATCACCAAAGACAGCATAGGTATTTCAGGTTTCAAGATCATTTTATGTCCTTCAGTCATAGGGGTAGCGTCAATTAATGTCCTTTAGCGAGGGATTAAATGCCTCTCATGTGGAAATTCTCTAGTGCAAAGTGCCAGTAGTTGTTACTGAGAGGTGCTCACAGTCTTTTGCCATAAGCGCCAGTTTCCCTTCCACATAAGACTATCAGACAGATAATTTGTCCCTACCACCAATCCAGCTTCTACTATACACTATGTGGACCTGGGCAGTGCTGTTCGTCCCCATTTAGCATGTCCAGTTAATATTGTCATGAAGGGCAGACTTACATGCCTTTTGTTTTACAGTACTAGGTAGGGGAAGTGTGTCTCCAGCCAGACATATCCATTCTCATAAAACATTTAGGTAAAGGGGATATAACTTCTTTACGTAAAGCTCACTTAAACATCCTTTCATAATCCTATCAACACTTGCATTTTTATGTTCTCCAATCTAATTGTAGCCTGAATCAGGGCTTTACCAATGGATCTTGATACCACAGCACATGGAGCTCCCATACCAAGGAGTCCCAGGAATTTATCTTCACCACCCCCAACCATTTTGCCCACTTGTATAGGAGAGGCCTTCAGTTCCCAGCAGAGACAGAAATAGATCCTTGCCCATTTGTCAGTCATTATCTTGATTAATCAATCTGTCTATTGCCCCAAGCAATTGTTGGTTACTTTTCTTGTAATCTCTGCCTTCTGGCTTTTTAAGTTTCCCCAAATTTAGAGACATTATGTGACCTTTGTCCAGAGAATATATCCAGGAAATATCTGAGATTGTTCCCACCCACTAAAGTAAACCCCATTACCCTGTTAATTAGCTGAAAGTCCCACTGTCCTATTGTGTACCTTAGTGGAATGTTTCCTGTTAAAGTATTTTCGGAATGTTGGCATTCCCTGTCTTAGGTTGAGGGTCCAGGTGGATTTGGATCCTTGGAGCAGTTCAGAATATCCCTATTGTTAGTGTTGTCATGTCCAGGCTCTGACTCTACTAAGAAAAGTATTGTATCTATTGTATCTGTCTGTCTGTCTAGCTCTCTCCCTATCTACTGTTTCCTGTTTTCCAGATATAAACAAACCCTAGGCAGCACATTAATTTGTTAACTTTACCAGAGTTTGCTATACTCTCAAGTCTTAATATTATAGATGATTTTACATATTTCATTTCATTTTGCTTGTACCAAAATGAAAACAACTTTCTTGTATGTTATATGATGCCAGGCTATATCCTAGGTAAGGTCTTGGGTGGGGAATGTTACTTTAACTGGCACTGTATTCAGTGCTACAAGTTTATTAAGAGGCGTTTCAGGCATTCCAACAAAAATTTAAAATACAACTTTTTGGAGTTGCTATTGATTTAATTGCTTTAGAGTTGCTTCAGATTCCTTTCTTGAAAATTCTTTCCTCCTGATTCTGATTTTACCTCTGAGGAATGCCACTCAAGAATTTATAATTAGGCCAGGCACAGTGGCTTACACCTGTAATCCCAGCAGTTTGGGAGGCTGGGGTGGGCGGATCACAAGGTCAGGAGTTCAAGACCTAGCCTGTCCAACATGGCGAAACCCCATCTTAAAAATACAAAAATTAGCCAGGCGTGCTGGTGGGCACCTGTACTCCCAGCTACTAGGGAGGCTGAGGCAGGAGAACTGCTTGAACCCGGGAGGCGGAGGTTGCAGTGAGCTGAGATCACACCACACTGCGCTCCAGCCTGGGTGACAAAACAAGGCTCCGTCTCAAAAAAAAAAAAAACAATTTATAATAATTAGTCACCTTAAACTTACTGGCATTTGTATGTTTACTTTTCAGTGTTTTGTATGTGTAGTCAGCAGCTTTGCAAAAGAATTTACTACAGAAACAGTACAGATGCAATGTAAACAATTAGAAAATACAAATATGCAAAAATTGGAAATGACATTTTCATGACCCAGAGATGAATACTTTTAACAACCTAGAGTATATCCTTCCAGATTGTGTGGTTTTTTTTTCTGTGCCTGTATGTACACATAAACTTTTAACCTAAATGGCAACGTGCCATATATATATATATATATATATATATATATATATTTTTTTTTTTTTTTTTTTTTTTTTTTTTTTTTTTGAGACAGAGTTTCACTCTTGTTGCCCAGGCTGGAGCACAATGGTGTGATCTCGGCTCACTGCAACCTCCGCCTCCCGGGTTCAAGCAATTCTCCTGCCTCAGCCTCCTGAGTAGCTGGGATTACAGGAACACACCACCATGCCTGGCTAATTTTTGTATTTTTAGTAGAGATGTGGTTTCACCATGTTGGCCAGGCTAGTCTTGAACTCCTGACCTCATGATCCGCCCGCCTTGGCCTCCCAAAGTGCTGGGATTACAGGCGTGAGGCACCATGCCCAGCAGTATAGTTTTTTTGTTTTGTTTTTGAGACAGTGTCTTGCTCTGTTACCCAGGTTGGAAAGCAGTGGCGTGATGTCAGCTCACTGCAACCTCTGCCTCCCAGATTCAAGCAATTCTCATGCCTCACCCTCCCAAGTAGCTGGGACTACAGGTGTGCACCACCACACCTGGCTAATGTTGTGTTTTTAGTAGAGACAAGGTTTTACCATGTTGACTAGGCTGGTCTCAAACTCCTGACCTCAGGTGAGCCACCTGTCTTGGCCTCCCAAAGTGCTGGGATTACAGGTATGAGCCACTGTGCCCGGCCCATATATACTATTTTATAAACTACTTATTTAGGCAATGATCTCCACCATTTTGTTTCAGTAGATTTCTTCTTCTTCCTTCCTCCTTCTTCCTTCCTTTTCAAGGTTGTTATGGGTTTCTAGTTTTGGTACAGTGAGAATGTTGTTTTTGTATCTTGTTTGTCTTTGCATTCATATATGACAGTTATAACATATAGGGATAAATACGTACTTTTCCATATATAAAGGATCAAAAGAAGGCACTGAATTTTATTTATTTATTTTAACACGGAGTCTCACCCTGTCGCCCAGGCTGGATTGCAGTGGCGCGATCTCAGCTCACTGCAACCTCCACACTGGGTTCAGGTGATCCTCCTGCCTCAGCCTGCCGAGTAACTGGGATTACAGGCACGTGCCACCATCTCCAGCTAATTTTTTGTATTTTTAGTAGAGATGGGGTTTCACCATGTTGGCCAGGCTGGTCTTGAACTCCTGACCTCAAGTGATCCACCCACCTTGACCTTCCAAAGTTCTGGGATTACAGGCATGAGCCATTATGCCTGGCCAGAATGCACTGAATTTTATGTGAATCCTTTCTGCACACAGGAAATTCCTGTAAATTATTACAGTTTTAAAATAGTAACTATGATTTTTTTTAACATCCTTATTTTGGGATTTGAAATTCTTATAAGGAAGTCTTGCTAAATCAAGATGGAAATCAGGTGTTACCAAAATTAGGCTAGCTTTGTAGTAAATGTTTTCTTAGCAGGAAATAAATCATATGTCTTTCAGACGTCAAATTGCTTCAATTGTGTCTGTCATTGGGGATATTAGCATAAAGCACAGAAAATTGAGGTGCTTTGTAATTATAGTGGGATTCGGGGTATACGTTTCATTGCATTTTAGCCTTTATAAATACTGCTTTTGAAGGTTTTACATGTTATCTTAAGTACATGTATGTGCCTTTAATGGCACATAGTAAACCAGTTTTAATAAAAGTTGACCACGTCCTAATAGTAAAGTTACAATAGCATTTTAAATCTTACTAGTGATTTAATAGTTCACCATTTAACATTTGTAGGGCCAGGAAAAGCTGCTTATAAGACTCACGGGCACAGAGTAAGTATATTCACTTCGAGACTGTGTGATATATGTATGCATAGGGAGGCAAAGGACCCAAATGCTGACCTTTTAAAAATGACTTTTTTTTTTTTTTTTTTTTTGAGAGGGAGTCTCACTCTGTCACTCAGGCTGGAGTGCAATGGTGCGATCTCGGCTCATGGCAGCCTCCGCCCCCCAGATTCAAGTGATTCTCTTGTCTCAGTCTCCCAAGTAGCTGGGATTACAGGCTTGCATCACCACACCTGGCCAATTTTTGTATTTTTAGTAGAGATGGTGTTTCACCACGTTGGCCAGGCTGGTCTTGAACTCTACTAAGGAGATCCACTCGCCTTGGCCTCCCAAAGTGTTGGGATTACAAGAGTGAGCCACAGCGCCCAGCCTAAAAATAACTTTCTTTATATTAACTTTTTTTCTATTAGTTTCTTAATGTGGCCTCTTAAAATTCTACTTTAAAAAAAGTTTGTATATACATATATATATGTAATAAAAGATAACAGTGTTTTCCTCAAGTGATTTTAGGCAGAATGTGTCACTGCCCTTCCTTTGTAAAATAACCCTTAAAAATCATAAAGCTCTTCATGTTACGTGTTGACATAGTTTATAGCAATCCCACTTGATTAGTTTTTTTATATGGAAAACATAATCATACTATGTGTAGCCATATTTTAAGATTGTGTTATTCAAGAGTCTTATAATATTGCCATGTAAATACCATCTCAAAAGTGCCCTGTTGTGAGATAAATAAGGAGATTTATTCTATAATAAGCTATAGCTTCTTATCTAGAAAAATGGTAAATGGGTAGAATTTCCATATTAAATAAAGATTTAAAGCATGTTTCCTGGAACATTTTACTTATAGACAGGAAATGTCTTGTGAAGGTATTGTGAGCACACTGCTTTATGATCAGTAAAATTTGGGAATTAAAATATTTTCCTTGTAAGATTACGGTAAGAATTAAAATACATATTTGCAAAAGAATTGGCAAATGCAGATATTCAATAAATGTTAGCTCCCCTCCCAGACAAGCTTATATAAATGTGTGTGCTCTGTAAATGAAATTCAAAGTATAAAGTGTATTTTTAGAAAACAGTCTACTTAGTGAGCCATCTGGGGCTTACATGGCATCTTTCTAGTAAGTAACAATTGGCTCTCCTCTCCACCACTATCAGTCAGTGGGGTCACAGAATAATAAACTTGTCTGTCAGCCATGAAACACAAACTCTCATTCAGCCATAAACAAATTAGCACGGCAAACTGAATTGCTAAGTAACTTTTCCAGTTTCGTTAATAACATACTCTGTTATTTAATACATCCCCACTTTTTTCTGTTTCAGAGTGGAAGCTCAAAATGAAATGGGGCAGCACATTCATTGTTATGTTGCAGCTCTTGCTGCTCATACAACTTTTCTGGAACAACCCAAGAGCTTTCGTCCTTCCCAGTGGATAAAAGAACATAGTGAAAGACAGTCTCTTAACAGAAATAGCCTTCGTCGCCAAAATCTTACCAGGGATTGCCACTCTCGGCAAGTCAAGCACAATGGCTGGGTTGTTCATCAGCCCTGTCCGCGTCAGTACAATTACTAAGAATTTTAAGTTTTATTGGTTGGTTTCTCTTGGTTTGTGCATATGTGTATGGATGTGTGTATATGTACAATGAAAGTGTTGTCTCTTTACAACCAATTGATAACCAATCACAGTTTTATCAGTGTATTTAGACACTATCTTGAAAACCAGATTTATATGCTGTGTATCACATAATGCCTTGCCTTTAACATTTACTTTTTTGTACACTTTTTCAGATTATTTCTGGAAACATATCAATATAATTACAGTGTTTGGTGTTTGGGGGTGTCTTTAAATCTATTAGGGTGTACATTAGTCAGCATTTTAAAGACATTTCTTCCCAAGTACGAGAATAGGCATCTTTCATTTTCATTTTATTTTGTATTAATCTTTTGAGCAAGCAAAAATTTATTCTCAGGGTCAGCTATACACTTTATTGACCAGTACTTGATAATCTCTCTGTATATGATGAATACATTTTTACACACTAATATGAGCATTAACAGGTGATAGTTGCCATGGATATAATGGAATTATGGCTGGACTTTCTTTTGAAAGAAAACAATGTATTCTGTGCGTATGGTTTTTCCCCAGATTAGTCATGCAGTTCATCTGGAATTCAGGTACATTAAGCTTTAGTGAAGAGTGCATTCAGTGATTCCAATGTGACTGCATGACGTGGTACAGACATTACAGGTGTTGTAGACAGAGGCACTTGTCCCGTGCAGAGGGATTAAATTAGACCTGTGAAATTTTATTTGGAAAAATTCATGTCTGTAACTAACCCATTAGTGCAGTATTTAATTTGTTACGATTCCTTCCTGCCAGTTCTGCCCACTCCTCACCTTGCTCTCAACTATAAATTCGGAAATACTTGTCCAGGCACTTGAGTGACTTCGTATTTCTCTCTGCCCATGGGAAAAGAGATAGGCTTTATATTTCCATACAGAGTGAAAAATCCTCTGTCATGGAGCCTGTCCTGCCAAGTGGCAAGCAAGGGTGTGGGGGAATGTCTGCTGATGTCTTTCATGGTATCTGAGTGAAGAGTGACAGGTTGGCTCAACTTTTTTCTTTTTCTTTTTTAATTGCCTTGTAAGTATTCTTCCCTGCAGTCCAAATGACCTTTTTTTTTTTTTTTTTTTAACTTCAGGCAAAATCTTTAACCACTCTGGCCTCTGTTTCCCCCACCAACAGGGGAGCAGTGACATTTACCTCCCTCACAGAGTCACTGTGAGGATTCTATACTGATTTGAAGTGGGGCTGTTCAGAACTGAACCTTGTAGGAAATTCCAAGGGCCTTTCTACTGAATCTGGTGATGGGGTGGGGCCGTGGCACTTTCTCTGCCACAGCTGTTCTTCACAGTGTTGGTGCTAATGAGGCCAGGGTGCAGGGTTCGATTCACACGTTGGCCAGTTAACTTAGAGAAAATCTATTTCCTTACCTCTAGCCAGTCACTTCCTTTTTCCGCAGTTGTGATGGGTTTTGCTGAGCCATCCACTCTGACTGATTTCCTCTGAAGTAAACACATTCACAATCCAAAGCAATTCTACTGACAGAAGTGTTGCCTACATAATCAAACAGCTTGTTTTTCCATCTCCTCTGCAACCCTAATTAAATGAGTACAGGTCTGTAAAATGTTTTCAAGGAGAAAAGCAGCATATACTTATGTGAAGTATTATATTTTTCAATAACCCTGTAGTGGCTTGATGCAGGGAACCCTGGGAGACTTTCAGGGAAGAGCTGTGCTCTTCTCTGACTAGACTAGAGCGTTTGGAGTGGAAGAGGTCAAATGTGTAGTTAGATGGAGGTTTTACATTGTTCTTCTACTGGCTGTGATGAAGTGCCAGAATGTCTCCTTAGAACAAGAGTCTAGATCCCCCCTTTCTCCTTATTGCCCTTTCTGTTTTGACTTCCCCTTTATTTGTTGTCTAATTAGGGGCCAAGTCTGTAAAGTTTTGTCAAAGTGAGTTAGAAGTTGTTTTCTTACCATTTGTGTTTACCAGAGTTGGGAGATAAGGTAGAGTTTCCATGAAGGTGTGTATGTTTTATACGATGTTTGTTATAGGGCCATGCATTGGTAACCTGAAAATAGACCAGCTTAATGTCTTCAGGATGTAAACCTCTGAATACACGGCGTCTCTTTTTCATACGTTGCATGTAAGTTGTTAGTACCTCACAAGCTACAGAAGTTCAGCCATTAGATTTTGTTTGGCAGCATGAACAGATTTGTGTATTAACTGCAATGGCCTTTTTTCCAGATTTCCTTATTGACTTTTTGTTTGCCTTATCTGGGGCTAGTTTTTTACGCTTTGTACCTAGAAAACAAAAAATTACATTCACTGGGCTTTTTTTCAAGGTTGGGATTACCACACCACCCGGAATATCATACTGTGGTTTCTGCCTAAAATTGGCACATGTAAGTGTTGAAGAAAATGGTTATATAATTCAGTTGAAACTCTTGGTCATTAGATGTTAGACATCTCCTGTGTGTAAGACACAAGGCCAACCACAACACAAAACGATGTTGACCTGTTAAGTATTCTCTGAAACACGGCCAAAATGCATTTTATTATGAGCTTTTTTTTTTTCTTGCTATTATAAATATTAGTGGTTTACAATGTGCTTTAGTCATATTTCTTTAAAATGCAAGCAGTGAGAAATAAGACCCCTCTGAATTAGTAGCTCTAAACTGTTAACATAGAATGTTACTTGGAAAAAGTCTGGAATACGTGGTGTACACAGCAGTGCTTCGTGAATGAGTTTCTTAGCTTTTACAGTGCACCATGTTTCTCAAAGTTTGTTTTTGTTGATAAAACATTTTATAATATATATCTTATGTTTATTTTTCTTCCTCAACTAATTGTGTACTGCACTGTAAGTGGAAAATTAGCCATCCATTATTTATCTTCTGTGGCAATGCATTTATATGGTTGATTGGGTGGGGAATTTTTTGCAGAAAGATGCACAGTGATTGGATTTTTGACTTCCTATCGCAGGGACCTTTTAAGAAATATTAATTTCCTGTACATTTTTCCTATCCCCATGCAAACTGTTCCTGTTTACATACCTTCTCTGTTGTATCAGTACTTTGAGTGAGAAGACAGTTTATTTAAAACTTGAGCAGGCTGTTCAGCATTGTTTCTGCTTCTCAAATCTGTATAGTACACTGGTTTGTAATCATTATGTCTTCATTGAAATCCTTGCTACTTCTCTTTCTCCTCGATGAAATACATTATATATTATCTTTATGTACTCTTAAGAAAAACGAGCAAGGAAGAGTATCTTCATTATTCTCATTTGCTTTGAGTTGGAAACAAAAATATAAAGGACTCCAACTAGAAGATACTTACATTTAAATAGATTAGTGGGAAAAGTTTAAGAGTTTCCACGTATTAATTTTTGTTCTTTGAGTCAATTAAGAGACTGCTCCTTGTACTGGGAGACACTAGTATATGTTTGTTAATGTTACTTTAAAATTATCTTTTTATTTTATAAGGCCCATAAATACTGGTTAAACTTGTTAAAAGTTGGGCTTCTATCTTGGATGGTTTCACTGCCATCAGCCATGCTGATATTTTAGAAATGGCATCTCTACCTACTTATTTTAATGCTTAAAATTATACATAAAATGCTTTATTTGGAAAACCTACATGATACAGTGGTGTCAGCCTTGCCATATATCAATTTCACTTGAAATTTGACACCAATTAAAGTGGTTTAAGGTGGAGAAAGAGGTACTGGAAAGCATGCAGATGAGGATATCTTTTATGTCCAACAGTATCCTTTGCATGGGAGGAGAGTTACTCTTGAAAGGCAGGCAGCTTAAGTGGACAATATTTTGTATATCATTGAGAATTTTCTTTACGACACTTTTAAAAATTGTGTAATTGTTAAATGTCCAGTTTTGCTCTGTTTTGCCTGAAGTTTTAATATTTGTTTTCTAGGTGAACCTCTGAAAACCAAACCAGTACCTGGGGAGGTTAGATGTGTGTTTCAGGCTTGGAGTGTATGAGTGGTTTTGCTTGTGTTTTGGTTGTGTTTTCCTCCAGAGATTTTGAACTTTTAATAATTGCATGTGTTATTTTTTTTTAAGTGGCTTTTTTTCAAGTAAAATTGTGAACATATTTTCTTTATAGGGGCAGGACATGAGTTATGGAGACTGAAGAGTATTGTAGACTGTACATGTGCCTTCTTAATGTGTTTCTGGACACACTTTTTTTTTTTCGTCAACTTGAAAATTCAAAAGGGACATTTGGTTAGGTTACTGTACATCAATCTATGCATAAATGGCAGCTTGTTTTCTTGAGCCACTGTCTAAATTTTTTGTTTTTATAGAAATTTTTTATACTGATTGGTTCATAGATGGTCAGTTTTGTACACAGACTGAACAATACAGCACTTTGCCAAAAATGAGTGTAGCATTGTTTAAACATTGTGTGTTAACACCTGTTCTTTGTAATTGGGTTGTGGTGCATTTTGCACTACCTGGAGTTACAGTTTTCAATCTGTCAGTAAATAAAATGTCCTTTAACTTCGCACTTGCCAGATTCTTTTATCTTTAGAGTCATTAATATTAAAAGGAGGTACAACTTACTGTTTAGTTTTGTTTGTCCAAAAGAGATGTTTAATATGCATTTTAAATATGTATTTAAAAGCTTATATAAAATTCATATATTAAGGCTGGGCACAGTGGCTCATGCCTGTAATCCCAGCAATTTGGAAGGCCAAGGCAGGCAGATCACTTGAGGCCAGAAGTTTGAGACCAGCCAGGCCAACATGGCAAAGCCCTATCTCTACTAAAAATATGAAAATTAGCTGAGCAGGGTGGTGTGCATTTGTAGTCTCAGCTACTTGGGAGGCTGAGGCAGGAGAATCCCTTGAACCTAGGAGGCGGAGGTTGCGGTGAGCTGAGATTGCGCAGCTTGGGCAACAGAGCAAGACTCTGTCTCAAAAAAAAAAAAAAAATATTTTTTTTTTTAACCTAAAATGAGGAATCACTTAAGTGAACAGGAATTGGAGGGTGATCCCCAACCAGTATCTTTCCCTCCAATCAATGTTTAAAAATATAGAATGTAATACACTGGTTCTTAGCCTTTTTAAAGCCAGGTGGATGAATTCCCAATGGATCTTCTCCCAAGTGAGTGGAGATAGAATCTTATAGAAGTGTTTTAGGACAATATGGCCTTCCCTGATGCCATTGATACCCCTATTGTGGAGCTCTAGTTTAAACAGGCCAGTAAACATTCAGAATAATTGAACAGGAAGCCCAAAGAATAACTCCCATATGAATGAATGTTTGGGGCAGATCAGCATTCTACAACTGTAGCTTATTTAAAGACAGATTTTTATTATCTGAGTCTTTGCTGAAATGAAAAGATCAGGTGCCAGGGGTAAGAAGGAGTCACCCAAAGATGAAAATAAGGTCATGAACGTTGACTTGAGAAGATGCAGGTTGAAATGAAAGCCCCACTTTGGGCTGGGCATGATGGCTCATGCCTGTAATGCCAACACTTTGGGAGGCTGAGACAAATGGGTCACCTGAGGTCAGGAGTTGAAGACCAACCTGGCCAACATGGCAAAACCCCATCTCTACTAAAAATACAAAAATGAGCCAGGCATGGTAGCGCATGCCTGTTATCCCAGCTCCTCAGAAGACTGAGGCAGGAGAATTGCTTGAACTCAGGATGTGGAGGTTGCAGTGAGCCAAGATCGTGCCACTGCACTCCAGCCTGGGCAACAGAGTGAGACTCTCTCAAAAAAAAAAAAAAAAAAAAAAAAAAACCAAAACAAACCAAAACAAAAAAAAAAACCCTACTCTGGAATGGCAGGGGAATGGCTGCAGCTGAGAAGACCGTTGCTAGGCCCACTTACAGAGTGTCCAGGGAATCTAGCAGCTTAATCAGGTCTCAAGGCAGTAACTGTATGGAATCTAAAAGTGGGTAGTCAAATATGAAGGTGGCTTTTGGAGATGGGCACATCAAGGCTTCACAGTTTGATATGTGGCCTAAATTATCTTGCTCCTTTGCTGTGAATTTGTACAGACCACAAGGTTATAAATTGAAGCACTGTCTGCTGTAAATGCAAAATTGAAAAACCTAAATGCTATGCAGTGGCTCACGCATGTAATCCCAGCATTTTGGGAGGCCGAGGCGGGTGGATCACGAGGTTAGGAGATCGAGACCATCCTGGCTAACACAGTGTAACCCCGTCTCTACGAAAAATACAAAAATTAGCCAGGCATGGTGGCATGCACCTGTTAATCCCAGCTACTCAGGAGGCTGAGGCAGAAGAATTGCTTGAACCAAGGAGGTGTAGGTTGCAGTGAGCCGAGATCCCCCCACTGCACTCCAGACTGGGTGACAGAGCAAGACTGTCTCAAAAAAAAAAAAAAAAAAGCAAAATTCAATGTATCTGTAGTAAGCTACACTTCATGTAAGAAGGGAATATAAGAAAACACACCACTATCAGCTCATTATGCAAAAGAAATACAGGAAGAAAAAGCCAGAAATGAAAGAGTGGTTACGGGGGTGGGTTAAAAAGGGTTGGAATAGAAGAGAGGAATTGGAATAGGTTAGTGGGGATGAGAAGAAAGCAACATTTCTCTGAGAATCTTTTTGTATAGCTTTGGCTTTTAGAACTATTAGTAATGTTTCCAACAGTTCTTTAGTCATATCAGTCATATTTCAAGTGCTCCCCAGCCACGTGTGGCTAGCGGCTACCATACTGGACAGTGCAGATAGAGAATATTTCCATCATCCAGAAGGTTCTGTTGGACAGTTCTCTCTGGGCCTATCAACAGTTCCACAGACTCTATATAGCAATCTTGGACCACTACTCTGCTAACTTTTTCTCACACCTTACCTGCTTCAGGCAATCAGAAACATTCAGGTTGTCACCACCTTTTCATGGCCACTCTCCTTCCTATCTAGCCTATACTCATATCTGCACCATTTTGGCCATTATCATGGTCGCATGTCAACTTTCAGTCTTTTCTCTTTCTGACATGCCTGTTCTGCTAACTTCCAACTACAAGTTAATCTGAATGCAAGGCTTGCTTCTACATTTGAGCCGCTTAAGAGCAACTGGAAAAAAAAATAACTCTTGTGGGGATCACGGCCATGAGACATGGAGGAGGTACAAGCTCAAGTGCCAGTCTGGCAATGCTTTTGTGTGCAACTGGTCAATTCTCTATACGATTCCTTCTCTACTCTCTTCAAGATCCCTAAGACAGTGCTTATCAAACTTTAAAATGCAAACAAATCATCTGGGGGATCTTGTTAAAAATGCAGATTTGGCCGGCGCGGTGGCGCACGCCTGTAATCCCAGCACTTTGGGAGGCTGAGGTGCGTGGATCACTTGAGGTCAGGAGCTCGAGACCAGCCTGGCCAACATGGTGAAAGCCCATCTCTACTAAAAATACAAAAATTAGCTGGGTGTGGTGGAGGGCGCCTGTAATCCCAGCTACTCAGGAGGCTGAGGCAGGAGTACTGCTTGAACCCGGGAGGCGGAGGTTGCAGTGAGCCGAGATTACACCTCTGCACTCCAGTGTGGGTGACGGAGTGAGAGTCCGCCTCACAAAAAAAAAATGCAGATTCTAATCCAGTAGGTCTGTTGTGTATGGGACCAGAGATTCTGCATTTCTAGCATGATATGCATGCTGCTAGCTCAAGAGCCATGAACAGCAAGGCCCTAACCCAGTGGTTCTCCAACTTCAGTGTGCACAATTTCCTGCAAGGCTTACTGAAACACATATTGGGCTGAATGCGGTGGCTCATGCCTGTGATTTGGGAGGCCGAGGTGGGCGGATCACGAGGTCAAGAGATCAAGACCATCCTGGCTAACACAGTGAAACCCCGTTTCTACTTAAAAAAATACAAAAAATTAGCCGGGCGTGGTGGCACGTGCCTGTAGTCCCAGCTACTTGGGAGGCTGAGGCAGGAGAATTGCCTGAACCCGGGAGGCAGAGGTGAAGGTTGCAGTGAGCCGAGATCGCATTACTGCACTCCAACCTGGGTGACAGAGTGAGACTCCGTCTCAAAAAAAAAAAAAAAAAAAAAACCACGAATTGCTGGACCCCATTACTGAAGTCTCTAACTCAGTAAATCCGGGATAGAGCCTGAGAATGTGTGTTTCTAATAAATTCCCAGGTCATGCCGCCACTACTATTCCAGGGAACACACTTTGAGACCATTGCCCTAAGCCACTGCTGGCCTTCTGTCTCCTATTTCACAGAGGCAATTGAGGCTAATGAGCGAGCAGCCCTATTGGAGCTCCTGTGGCACCTGCTCTTCCCATATTTCAGCCATCATCACACTACTGAAGGATGTTAATCTGCATTTTTAGTAGGATTCCCCAGATGGTTTCTTTGCATTTTAAAGTTTGATAAGCACTGTTAGGGATCTTGAAGACAGTAGAGAAGGAACTGTATAGAGCATTGGCCAGAAGAATTTATTTATAATTAAGAAAAACACTGAGTAAAGAAGGGATGTATTTGTGAACATCCTGCATCCATTTCCCTTCTGATAATAGTATCCCAATTTTCTTCTAGGGATATATTTATCCCTCCAGAATCGAGGTTAGTTTCAGATGGCATTAACTATTCCCTGCTCCAGGAGTAAGCATATGAATCAGGTCTGGCCAATCAGATACGCATTCCCCCTGGCCACAGGATAGCTCAAGGATAGGACTGTGCCCCAGTCAAAGTTAGTAAGATACACTGAGGCTTTCTAGGACTGCCGAGGGAAGCTGAGACTCATCTCCACTTGACTTCGGTCAAGAAACACTTGAAGATTCGAGAACCATGGCAACTATCTTGCTCCACAAGTAGGGGAAGTTGACAGAGATACAGCCAATGTGCAAAAAGGAGAGGAGGGATGACTTGCCATAGTGACATAATATCTTGATCAAGCTCTACCCTTGGACTATTATGTGAGATAAAATTCCTTTTTGCTTAATCTCTCACTTGTGAGTAGGCTGCTTGTATGTCTCATTGGCATCCAGTAAAGGAGTTTAAGAGCTTTTTCTTAAATTTTCTTAAGGCTAATTCTAGCCTTACTGAAGAGGATTAAGCAAGGAGTTCCCAGAGCTAGAGAGGATGAAGGTGAATGCTTTAAGTGTGGAGATTGGTCCTAATAGGCGGCTAAAACCTATGAGCAGGGATGGGAATTCAAGGCTTTCATTTCTTCAGAGGTTCAGCTGCAGCTGAATGCAGACCCCCCCCCAAATGGGAGGCAGCTGCGGGATGCTCGCAGAGGCTGGTTGGCAACACAGCCTACGAGCAGTGTGCAGCTTTCCAGGAGCAAGCTGAGGCTGGGGGTGGAGGGTCAAGTATAATAGGGCTCTGGAGTGGCATCCTGCAGCACCCATGCCTGGGCAGACATTCTGCAGCAACACTGGGCTACAGCAGCCATGATGGAAAGCAGTGGCGACTCAAGCCCCAGCCCTCCCCTTGTTCCCTTCTACTGCATACTGGGGTTCATGTACCACCCTGGGTGGGGAACACGCAGCGACTCCAATCACTGCTCCAATGTTTAGGACCTAAGTGCTCTGCCCTTACGAATGAGATTAATGTCCTTATAAAAGAGGCTTCAGGGAACTACTTGGCCCCCTCCCCTCCTTCTGCCATGTGAGGATATTGCAAGAGGAGCCATCTTGACGGTAGAGTGAGACTTTGCCAGACACCAAATCTGCCTGCGCCTTGACCTCGAACTTCATAGCCTCCGGAACTGTGAGAAATATATTTCTATTTATAAATTACCAGTCTAGAGTATTGTGTTATAGGGCAGGAATGAACTAAGACACCTGGTTAGGATCTTTCAATCTGTGATCCAAGACACTACCTTGAGTTCTATCCAGATGGTTCTTATATAGTGTTATCACTATATGTAAAAAATATACACACACACTTACTATTATCTTATCCATGTAGTGTTATCACTATAGAGCAAACTCTTATAGCAGCCATCTGTACCCCCTTTTAACATTTTCTTTTGGAGGTCACATCCTCCAAAAAGAGCATTTTAACATGAAGTGTGACCTGCCAAAGTGAACAGACTATAGGAAACTCTATGTTTAAAAAAAAAAAAAAAATCCCACAGAGCCTTCCTGAATCTGCTCCATTTTAATTTAGAAATTTTGTGACTTAACATTTAGGTCCAAGTGTGGATTTCTTAACTTGTCACTGCAATGCTTTAGACCTTGTTGCTAATTTGCTTGGTTTACAATGTTGATTTGGATGACAAATTCAGATAATTCAGAGCACCTGGAATTCCTGACGTTCAGGTCAGCATTGAGAACATCAGGGCTCTCCTGCTGCACGTTACAGATGCAGGATATTGGCCTGTTTCCAGGAGACAGGATAGTACTGTTCAGTGCCACCAGGGGGTTCCAGTGTGGCCTGCGAGGAGTGGCTATCACTCTTGAGGGCGTGGAGCATCCTCTCTGTCCCTGGGATGGAATAAGTGTAGCCAAAAGCAAGTGGGCAGACTCAACACTACGTATTCCTGGTAGCTCTGAAAATGACAGAGCAAATCATGGGAACTGCACAAAATGAATGACATTGTAAACTGTTTGACTTCTTCCTTGAAAACAAGAACTAGAAGTCTCTCTGAGCCTACCCTGGCTCAGGTGGCTGCCCGATAAAAAGAAAAATAAAGAAAAAATAAACAAGAACCAATAATTATGGGGTACATTCAATAAAAAAGTAAAGTAATCACAGGCACAGGAGCTCACACCTGTACTCCCAGCTACTCGGGAGGCTGAAGTGGGAGGACTGGTTGAGCCTGGGAGATCAAGGCTGAAGTGAGCTGTGATTGTGCCTTTGCACTCCAACCTGGGTGACAGAGCAAGACTCTATCTAAATAATACTTTCTAAAAATACTTTCAAATAATTACACTGGCACATCTAGTCATCTATTGGGGTAAGACTTTATTTCTAAGTTCTTTAAGCTGGAAATAACATGTATTTCAAAAGATACTCCTAAAAGAAATGAGGAATTTGGTTCCTCTATAACAAGAACAAAACTTCAGCTTTTCAAGTTTTTTTGTCATTGAATTATCTGGCTAAAGAGAATGTGTCCCAAAGTTACTTCAATACACCATAGCCTAAAGGTTTTAAATAAAACTTAACACTTAACTAAATTAAAACTAGTGTCATATTCAAATGCAAGGAATAAAAAGGGAAATGAAATTGTATCAGTTGGTCAGCATTTACTAAACACCTCCCAAGGGTAAAACACAGGGAATGGGATGGAAAGAGAAGGATGTTGGAGATACTATGAACACAGAATTGACGAGTGTGATTGGGGTGCAGGGGAAGAGGGCAAAAGGAGGAAGCAAAGAATGAGATCTCCAGTTTGGGTGAACCTGGGGATACAGACAGAACACTGTGGCTTATGTATCCCCGTGTGGGGTGCTCTCTAATGCTTAATTACAGGAATAAAGTTATTCCTGTCAAAGAAACGTTTGACAACTGTATCCAAGAGTATGTCATAACATAGAAATCAATGAAATGATACAGCTATCTCACAGGCTAACAATAACCTCTAGAGAAGTCTGCAAAGGTGAAAAATGAATTAGTAATTAAAGAGCTGACCAGGATTGTCTGTGATCATCCCAGCCTCTGAAATAACATTAGCAGAGTCTGAAGTGGTGGCTTCCCTGGCAGCTTATTTCTCCACCAGTCTCCCAGGGCCTACTCTGCACCATCACCTCTAGAAACCCTGGGAAGTGCAGGCCAGGGTTCTCTGCTTCAAACCAAGTCTGGGCGCTAGAGGACACGAAGAGCCCTCTATGTTTAGATTAGAGTGATTCTTTGAGGCTGGCTTTGTGTCTCTGGTGCACCTGAACTGCTTCCATGGCACTGATCAGGAAGGGAGTCAAATCGGTCAGGTCGGTGCACTTAGAAGTTTGAGTTTTAAAAGTCAGGAAGAATTTCATTCTGGAAAAAAAATTACAAGTATTTACCCAGAAATCCACAGCAAGTTAGAAAGTCTTGGAACTAAGAAACAACTTACAAAGTTTCGCTGATCAAAAAAAAAAAAAACTTGACGAAACAGGCACTTGGCAACATGTGCTGCAGAATATCAATTCACAGCCACCAGAGATCTGCAGAAATACCTGAGGGACCATAAGCATAAAGAGGCTTCCACTAATATTCTTGCATATAAGAAGCAAACATGATGAAGAGATGGATGTATTTTATATTCTTAAAGCAAACTGAATAAACTTAAGAATTATCACTTGTACATCTTGTTATAAAATGGACTTGAAAAAACACTAATGCATGTGTTCATAACATTTAGGGGAGGATTTGATAAAGAAGAAGACATTAGTTTTATGTTCCAACTAAAATGTTTGCCCTATTTTTTTAATAGAATTTGTACATTTCTTTGACATTTTCTATAAGCTGTATAGCGTTGATATGCTAAATTTTTTCTAAGACTGAGAGATTCTTTGTGGTTGAATTTTCTATTTTAAAACCAATTTTGGGAGATGCCATTGCCAATACACATTGGTAATTCAACCACCTGATCACTACACAAAAAGAATTCATTTTGGACCCAAAGTTTTGTACATCTTACTGTCAACTGTGGCAGAACTTACATTAATTTTTATTTCGCAATTGTTGTATTAGGAGATACATATACTAGTCTAAGAAATGTGGATTCTAGTTGTATTTCACAGCAGTACGTGTGTTACAGTATGAACTCCAGTAAGTATGTTAGACTACCTTGCTGATTTCAGGTTAATGCAAAGATATTTGTAAACGCCTCTGTAGCTCTCACAAGACACGCTAGAATAGATAAAAAAAACAAGAGGACTACAATCCTTAGATTATTGATTGGGTTACTTTTTATTACAGAACCTTCTACATTGACATACACTGTTTAATCATTTGTCTTCCAAGTTTATTATTTGTGGCTTTTTTTTTTTTTTTTTGAGATGGAGTCTTGCTCTCAAAAAAGACTCTGCACCCAGGCTGGAGTGCAGAGGCGCGGTCTCGGCTCACTGCCAGCTCCGCCTCCCGGCTTCAAGCAATTCTCTGCCTCAGCCTCCTGAGTAGCTGGGACTACAGGTGCCCACCACCATGCCCGGCTAATTTTTTGTATTTTTAGTAGAGACAGGGTTTCATCGTGTTGGCCAGGATGGTCTCAATCTCCTGCCATCGTGATCCGCCCGCCTCTGCCTCCCAAAGTGCTGGGATTACAGGTGTGAGACACCACGCCTGGCCTTTGTTTTTTTTTTTTTGAGATGGAGTCTCACTCTGTCACCCAGGCTGGAGTGCAGTGGCAAGATCTCGGCTCACTGCAACTGCCTCCCAGGTTCAAGCGATTCTCCTGCCTCAGCCTCCTGAGTAGCTGGAATTTAGGCACATGCCACCACACCCAGGTGATTTTTGTATTTTTAGTAGAGAGGGGGTTTTGTCATATTGGCCCGGCTGGTCTTGAACTCCTGACATCAGGTGATCCACCTGCTTCGGCCTCCCAAAGTGCTGGGATTATAGGCATGAGCCCTTGTACCCGGCCCATTTTTGTTTTTTAATAGGTGGAATAAGCTAAAATTTGGCTTACTTTATAGTAATTCCTTTAAATATAGATACTAAAGTAAACTTTAGTGGCTAACACTTAGGATGACAGCCAGGATGGGTCATTTATGAGATGTTAAAGCTACAGCACTGACCTTTACCCCCTCAGACTGATGGACTAGTGGATAACAGTCCTATTGCAGGAAATTTCTTGTTGCTGGCTGGCTGGCACTAATCCCATGGGACAAGGGCATGGCTTGCCTCTGTTGTTTTGTCAGGACCATCTTAGATTCCACGTTGAACGTGCTACTGAGAAACAACAGATGGAAAGGTATTGCATCAGGCTCTAAGAAACTGCATGAACTTCTTTTTTTTTTTTTCTACACTATCGTGCTACTTCCCCCAGCTACCCAACAACCTTAAAACTCCTCACACTTTATGCCTCACTGCCTAAGTTGTATGTACCATTTTGCTTAAATTCCACTGACCATAACTCAGTCAATGGCCTCTCCCAGCTTTAAGGCAGGAATGGAAATTTAATTTTTATTTCAGCTAAATTAGGGGTTCTATTGCTAATAAAAAAGGAGAGCACAGATATCAAAGGAGGGATATCCTCACAATCTCTCCCACCACCCAATACAATCCCACCTATCCTACGAGGTCTGGTACAAGTATCACTTATTCTGTAGTCCTCCTATTTCTTCCCCAATTCCTAGACAGAAACTTAACCACTCATTTCTCTGAAGCCCCTTGTGAGTATATGATCTGTGTACCTGTCTGATCTCATTCTGAATTGTAAGCCCTGAAAGTAACAGATGCTGACAAGGCTGCAGAGAAGAGGAAACACACACAGTTGGTGGGACTGCAAATTAGTTCAGCCCCTGTGAAAAACAGTTTGGAGATATTTCAAATAACTAAAAATAGAATTACCATTCGACCCAACAATCCCAGTATTGGGTATACACCCAAAGGAAAATAAATTCTTCTACCAAAACAACACCTGCACTAGCATGTTCATCACAGCACTATACACAACAGCAGAAGTATGGAATCAATCTAGATGCCTGTCAACAGTGGACTGGATTTAAAAAACGTGGTACACATATACCACGGAATACTATACAGCCATAACAAAGAACAAAAGTATGTTCTCTGCAGCAACATGGATGCAGCTGGAGGCTGCCATTGTAAGTAAATTAATGCAGAAACAGAAAACCAAGTATCAGGTGTTCTCACTTCTAAGTGAGAGCTAAACACTGGGTACAGATGGACAGAAAGATGAGAACAATCAGCTGGGGGTGGTGGCTTACACCTGTAATCCCAGCACTTTGGGAGGCTGAGGTGGGAGGATCACTTGAACTCGGCAGTTCAAGACTAGCCTGGGCAACACAGGGAGACCCCATCTCTTAAAAAAATTTTTTTTTAAGTTGTGAACAATAGACACTGGGGACTCCAAAAGCAGGGAGGGGGGAAATACGGGAAAAATGTTGCAAAATGACCTATTGGGTACTATGTTCACTCTTTGGGTGATGAGCTCAATCAAAGCCCAAACCTCAGCATCACACAATATATCCATGTAACAAACCTGCACATGTACCCGATGAAGCTAAAATAAATAAGTAGTAATAATAAAACATAAATAGTAAGCTCTGAGCTGTGTACCTCTATGTATATGTAGTTCCACATGTTACTCACTTTTGTATTATTATTTTTTTTTTTTCTGAGACACCTCTGCCTCCCAGGTAGCTGGGATTACAGATACACATCACCATGCCCAGCTAATTTTTGTATTTTTAGTAGAGATGGGGTTTCACCATGTTGGCCAGGCTGGTCTCGAACTCCTGACCTTGTGATCCACCTGCCTTGGCCCCCCAAAGTGCCGGGATTACAGGTGTGAGCCACCGTGCCCAGCCAAGAACCTTAGTCTTCAGCAAATCGAAAGTGCTGAAGAAACAGCTCTTTCCTGGTGGCACATTCTGGAAAAACATTTCACAACACTAGTGAGTGAGCAACCATAGGCTTTGAGGAACTGGCTGACTGTTCTGGGGTGTGCCACTATTGTTGGCCACATGACATAAAACTGGCAGTGGCTGGAAAGAGCAACATCTAAAATGTTTGAGAGGAATATGTAACTCACCCAGGCCTTACTCTGCAAACAAAACATGAGTAACCAGGTAAGTACTTTCTGGCTGGTCAATAACTACTCCACAGCAGCTGCGTGAGTTCCCTGCAGTGGCATGGATGCTGGCTTACAGTGATGTTTGAAACCAAATCTACAGATGAAGACTTCAAAGGATTTTATATCACTAATAAGAAGACTACCTTATTCCCAAAGTTTATCCATTAAACTATAAAACCGATATCAAATATATATTCCACATTGACAGTGAAGACCCTGATGTGTCTGTTTTAAGTGGAGAAACCACTACAAAAAGAAAAAAAAATTTTTTTTTAAGAGAGAAAGTCTCAGGCCGGGCACAGTGGCTCACGCCTGTAATCCTAACTCTAGGAGGCCAAAGCGGGCGGATCACTTGAGGTTAGGAGTTCAAGACGAGCCTGGCCAGCATTGTGAAACCCTGTCTCTATTAAAAATACAAAAATTAGCTGGGCGTGGTGGTGCATGCCTGTAGTCTCAGCTACTCAGGAGGCTGAGGCAGGAGAATCGCTGAAGTTCAGGAGGCAGAGGCTGCAGTGAGCTGAGATTGTGCCACTGCACTCCAGCCTCGGTGACAGAGTAAGACTTGGTCTCAAAAAAAAAAAAAAGACAAGGTCTCGCTCTGTCACTAAGGCTGGAGTGCAAGGATGTGATGAGAGCTCACTGAAGTCTCAAATTCTTGGGCTCAAGCAATCTTCCCACTTTAGCCTCCTGAGTAGCTGGGACTACAGGTGCATGCCAGAATGCCAAGCTGATTTTTAAAACTGTTTTGTAGAGATGAGGTCTTGCAATGTTGTCCAGGCTAGTCTTGAACTCCTGGCCTCAAGCGATCCTACTGCTTTGGCCTCCCAAAGTGTTGGGATTACAGGTGTGAGCCACGGCGCCTGGTGCAGAAATGGTTTTAAATACAGATAATCATGAGGGTTATAGTGATGATGAAGAGGAAACTGTAAAATGGGTAGAACAATAATCACTAGATGATATGGTGAAAATGTGTGATCAATCAGTGGTGGGCTTTGAGCCATGTACATTTATTCAGTGAACATGAGTTTACGGCAGTTTTCATAATTAAAAAGGAACTGACGGGAACCCAGATTAATGAACCATTATGACATGGGGAGCAAAGAGTCCTTAAAAAGGGCGCCGCTAGAGTGCAGCATTTAATCCTGCTCCTGCTGGCATCAGATGTTCCCCCCCAGCCTGCTGCTGGGACAGGCACTGATGTTCCTCTCCTCTAGGATGTACAAACACTAGAGGTTACACATGTTCATCCTTGTATGCACAGGCATATTTAGCTGAATTTGAACCTGTATATATTAAAAGAGTTATAAAATGTTTTCCTTAGAAAAATGACTACTAGAGTACTTACAATCTATATTTGTTCCACTCTTTCATTGACTGGTTTATTATTTATTTATTTATTTTTTTGAGATGGAGTCTTGCTCTGTCACCAGGTTGGAGTGCAGTGGCATGATCTTGGCTTACTGAAACCTCCCCCTCCCAGGTTCAAGTGATTCTCCTGCCTCAGCCTCCAGAGTGGCTGGGATTACAGGCACACACCACCACGCCCAGCTAATTTTTTTTTTTTTTTTTTTTTTTTTTTGAGACCGAGTCTCGCTCTGTCGCCCAGGCTGGAGTGCAGTGGCGTGATCTCGGCTCACTGCAAGCTCCACTTCCTGGGTTCATGCCATTCTCCTGCCTCAGCCTCCCCAGTAGCTGGGACTATAGGCACCCGCCACCATGCCTGGCTAGTTTTTTGTATTTTTTTTTTTTTTTAAGTAGAGACGGGGTTTCACCGTGTTAGCTAGGATTGTCTCAATCTCTTGACCTTGTGATCTGCCCGCCTCAGCCTCCCAAAGTGCTGAGATTACAGGCATGAGCCATCACACCCAGTTTACTGGTTTATTATTTAAATTAACTACACAGTTTGTCCTAATTAGTACTTCATACACTTTACTGCAGAAATATTAATGCTTCATTATAGTGTGTTACCTTAGACCCTGCCAGGGCTTTTATGTGACGTGACGTGTGGTTATTGTATACATACATATTTCCTTTCAAAAAATCTGAAAAGCTCTGAATTCTAAAACTCATCAGGCTGCAAAGATAGATAATAGACAGTGGACCTTATTTTACTCAAAAGGCAAATAATGCACTTGTAGGAAATCATTGCACTGTTTCAGGTTAAGATCCTTTTTGAACAATTTCTAATGCCTGTCACTCTTGGTTATGTACATTTCTAACTAAAGGCAGCTACTCTATCTTTCCCTCGTAGGATAGAGACCACTGTTAAATTCTGGCACTGATACAAAAACAAAACTTTGCAGAAAAACTGAAGGAGTTTAATCACATCTGGTGGTAATACCTCCTAAATGATATCACACTCTAAGAGCCTTTGCAAGATTATATGAAGTACGAATTAATTTCTAATAATGCAGCTTTGTCATTATGAAGAGCAGTTATTCACTGTGAAAACCAAGTGTGGGCTCAGACCATCTGGCTTCTTGAGCTCTTGTGTTTGAGTATCAGTCTTCCACAGACCCCTCAGCTCAAACCAGGCTGTCACTTCTGGCTGCTCCCAGGGTACCTGCCATAGCATCCTCACTAACGTGCCAAAGCTGGAAAAACTTCATTTTGTTATCTAAATTAAGAATAAATGATCCAGGAGAGCCTCAACTTTAGACATCTGTTTTAGCTGTTCAGAGGCCCATCTCCTTCCTTCCTGCTTCTCGGCTGGGTTAGTAATAACTGAGGTACCAGGTAAATAACCCGTAGAGGGCCAATGCACCATTGCATATTATTCTTACTTTGTCTCTAAAAAGATTAAAGGGAGAAATAGTGATTATCTGCTGGATCTTTGTGGAGACACTAATCCACCTCTTTGGAAGGCCAAGGCCAAGTTGAGAACACGAACAGAACACACACCAGTAGCAGAGCCAACGCACCCTGCATTTATTTTAATATTCTACTCCAAATCCCTTGTGTGGAAGGAAAAAGAAAGTAACTTTTTTTTTTTTTTTTTTTTTTTTGAGACGGAGTCTCGCTCTGCCGCCCAGGCTGGAGTGCAGTGGCGCGATCTCCACTCATTGCAAGCTCCGCCTCCCAGGTTCACGCCATTCTCCTGCCTCAGCCTCCTGTATAGCTGGGACTACAGGCGCCCGCCATCACGCCCAGCTAATTTTTGTATTTTTAGTAGAGACGGGGTTTCACCGTGTTAGCCACAGTGGTCTCAATCTCCTGACCTCGTGATCTGCCCGTCTCGGCCTCCCAAAGTGCTGGGATTACAGGCATGAGCCACCGCGCCCAGCCAAGAAAGTAACATTTATAAAAGGATAATGTTACAAGCTTCATATATTTCCTTTAATTATACACTGTGAGGTAGGTGTTATTCCCTTTTTACAAATGAAGGCTGAAGTTAGATAATTTATTAATTCCAAACCTCTCATGAATATTAAGTGATAAAAACTAGCTTATAATCCATCTGTTTATCTCAAACCCATGCTCCTCAAAATTTTCACTTTATTAAAGAATCACAATATCAATACAGGCTTGCTGTAAAAGTCAAATACAGACGTGTTAATGTCTCCTCCCCTAGGCCAAATCTGCTCTCACGGTAACAAATTTTAATAGCTGAGGCGGCATCTTGCCACTTCTTTCTCCAGGATCATAAAATCATGTATACACACATAGAAAGATTTCCTTATTTTTCTCCAAAGAAAGATCTTACTGTAACATTTTCCATTAACACTACACTGCAATTTTTATCACTTATGAATGTATCACCGCTTTTCAAGTTCATATAGGTAATCTCAACTCATTTTTTTAAAATTGCATGATATATTCTATATTATAGATGAACCATACTTTTTAAAACACTTCCTGATAAAATTCAAATTATCTCTACGTTTTTGCTATTACAAAAAAAGCTATAGTAAACTTTCTTGAACATATATTCTTAGACAAATTGGAACCTTGATTTCCACAAACTAAATGAAAAGTGGTATTACTGAATGTAATCTCTGTACGTTTTAGGTCTGAGCTGTTCCTATTGTCAGGTTTTGACTCATAGAGATATGCAAGGCCAAACAATGGAATCTATCTTCCTGACAGTTCTGATAAAGTCATTTCCACTGGACAGAAGGCAAGATTCTGTTTGATTCTGTGCAATGTGAACTCTCAGTTGGGGTAGGGCTTACACAAGGAGGTATCAGAGAAAGAAAGAAATAGGTTATCAGAAGACTCTATCAAGACCAGTTCAGGCCAGGCGCGGTGGCTCACCTGTAATCCCAGCACTTTGGGAGGCCAAGGCAGGTGGTTCACCTGAGGTCAGGAGTTTGAGACCAGCCTGGCCAACATGGTGAAACCCCGTCTCTACCAAAAATACAAAAATTAGCTGGGCATGGTGGCACATGCTTGTAATCCCAGCTACTTGGCAGGCTGACGCACGAGAATTGTTTGAACCCGGGAGACAGAGGTTGCATTGAGCCAAGCTGGTGCCACTGCACTACAGCCTGGGTGACAGAGCAACTCTATCTCAAGAAAGAAAAAAAAAGTTCCTAAATGGGCAGGAGTACGGAACCCTGGCTGGATACCTTTTCCACAACTCCCACCCACCTTACCCCTCTGCAAGGTATACAAGACAGAAGGAAAAAAAAATGAGGGCGAGATTATGGTTTCCTCCAAGAAGGGCCATGCTCCTGTCAGAAAGGGGCCTAGTTTTCAGGGGCCTCTGATGCAGACAAAGCAGACAGCAACTTGGTCTCTCACAAGCTCAATGCACTCTCTCAGGCTGAGTGAAACCAGGTGACACACAGAGGCACTGGCTGGAGAAGCCAGCTTTTTGTAATTCATATATATATATATATATATAATTTTTTAAAAATTTATTTTAGAGATGAGGTCTCACTATGTTGCCCAGGCTGGTCTCAAACTCCTGGGCTGAAGTGATCCACCCACCTCGGCCTCCCAAAATGCTAGGAGCCACCATGCCTGGCCAGCTTTTTGAAAAAAAAATTTTTTTTTGAGACGGAGTCTTGCTCTGTCACCAGGCTGGAGTGTAGTAGTGCGATCTCGGCTCACTGCAACCTCCGCCTCCTAGGTTCAAGCGATTCTCCTGCCTCAGCTTCCTGAGTAGCTAGGATTACAGGCACCCACTACCACACCTGGCTAATTTTTTGTATTTTTAGTAGAGACGGGGTTTCACTATGTTGGCCAGGCTGGTCTTGAACTCCTGACCTTGTGATCTGCCCACCTTGGCCTCCCAAAGTGCTTTGTTTTTTTTCTTTTTTTTCTTTTGAGACGGAGTCTCCCTCTGTCGTCCAGGCTAGAGTACAGTGGCGCAATCTCGGCTCACTGCAACCTCTGCCTCCCAGGTTCAAGAGATTTTCCTGCTCAGCCTCCCAAGTAGATGGGATTACAGGCGTGCACCACCAACACTGGTTAGTTTTGTATTTTTAGTAGAGATGGGGTTTCGTCATGTTGGTCAGGCTGGTCTCGAACTCCTGACCTCAGGTGATCCACCCACCTCAGCCTCCCAAACTCCTGGAATTATAGGTATGAGCCACTGTGCCTGGCCAGCTTTTTGAAATTCTTAAACTGGATGTGTACCTTTGGATACATATATAAACTTTCCAATTCTTATGTTCCTCTTTTGAAAAATGAGGGGTTCAGGATTTGTGATGTGCGAAGCCACTTCTGTTTCTCAGATTCTGTAATTCTAGTTACAAAATGTGGATAATTTCTTATGACATTTGGACGAATTCATACAAATATAAAATTAGGAGTCAAGACTTGGGTTCAAGTCCCAATCTGCAAGCTAAATAATCTTAGAGAAGCCCTTTAACTCCCCTGAGTTTTATTCCTCAGCTATAAATCTGGCAAAATAAACCTCATAGGGTTGTTGCAAGACTCAAGTAAGGGGATGCCTGTTAAATAGCTTGTGAACAATAAAAATGTTAAAATAAATGTAGCATAGGCCAGGAGCAGTGGTTCACATCTGTAATCCCAGCACTTTGGGAGGCTGAGATGGGAGGATTACTTGAGGCCAGGAGTTCAAGGACAGCCTGGGCAACACAGCAAGACTCCATCTCGACAGGAAATTTAAAAATTAGCCAGGGAAGACGGTGCACGTCTGTAGTCCCAGCTACTTGGAAGGCTGAGGTGGGAGGATTGCTTGAGCCCAGGAGGTTGAGTCCATAGTGAGCTATGATCATACAATTGTACTCCAGCATGGGCAACAGAGTGAGACTGTCTTTAAAAATAAACAAACAAATAAACGTGGCATAGTATTCTTAGTAAATCCAAGCTACTAGTTCTCATTTCTTTGCTCAACTTAAACTTCATTAATCAAATATTTAAGTCATTCATTCCACAAATATTTATGGAATGTCTTCTGTTTTAGGCACTATATACCTCAGTGAATAAAACACTGAATTTTTATTTACTGTCCAACACTGGCCAGACACAATGCGAGGTACTGAGCACACAATGGTGCAATTAAGAGCTTTTAGTGGGAGTCACAGTCACACTTACGTCATGGGACTTAGACTTGAAAATGTCCTTTCACAATGTGTATCAAATACAGAAATTTAAACATAAATATTTTACCAAGGCACACACAAGGGAAATAAACTGTACTCACCCTAGTAGAGAGATGAATGTAGTACCTGCTATGATCCAATACATAGGGGCCAGCCACTGTTTTAGGTACTGGAGATTCAGCAATGAACAAAGCAGACCAAGTCCCTGGCCTTCTGGAGCTCACATTCTATTAGAAAGGCTGACTCACAGGCACATGTTCTCAGTACCTCCTGAGGGATATGTCACAGGACTAAAAAATGAAAGGCTGAATCAATCAGACTATTACTAATTACATATGGAAGACACAGGCAAAGAAAAGTATGAGGCTGATATGAGACGTATGAGACAAAGTTCTAGACCCAGAGCTTCTGGCCCCTTCTCTTGGTAGTACTCAGTTCCCCTTATCAGAACTGAAGGCATGATAAACTCTGACTTTCTCACCTCATTTCTCATTCCAATTATTCAACTTGGACAAGTAGCAGCTTTTACCAAGGAGTGAGATGTTTGGGTATATGGGATAATCACAGCTATGTTTTGGCTGCGGTAAGCTGTTATGGCTTTAGATTTTCAAACACCATTCATACACTCTGCAAACATATGATTGAGCTCTACCCTTTTCTAGGGTCCTTTGAATCTATCTGTGTCTCACACAGCACGAAGATTCCTGCAGCCAATAATGGATCACTAACCTGCATCTAACTTCTAACTATTGCTCACATATGCATTCAGAAGTATGTCCAACAACGGCAGATTCTTTAGCATGATGCACTGTGCAAAGTCCTTGCTTCCTGGCATTTATATTCACATTGAAAACTTAAGAGAAATGCAAACTCTAGTATTAGACAGTATGAGTTGATGCCATTTGATTAAATGAGATATAGGAGCTACAAGGAGAAAGGCATCACTTCTGGCTGGAGTAACCACAGGAGAGAAGGATGCCGCTCTTGTGAGAGACTGTTTTGTGCTGGTCACAGTGCGAGACATTTTACATACATTCTCTCACTTGCCAGGAAGGCTTCATGAAGGACTTGGTAGTCTAAGACCCTGAGGAAGAATTTGGTAAGGCAGACATGTAGTTTCAACTGAATTTTCATTTACTGTCCAACACTGGCCAGGCACAATGCTAGGTGCTGGACACATGATGGTGATGGTGCAATTAAGAACTTTTAGTGGGAGACACAGACAAATAAACAGGCAATCACAACTACCCTATAGTGTAATGTATACAAATAGATAAAGCACAGGGGCAATGGCAGAACAAGGTCAGGTGTATTTGTCATGATTCTCTCAGTTGCACATGACAAAACTGACTCAAAATAATCTTAAGCTAAAATGTGATGGGCTGGCTTACGTTACTAGGAACCACCAAGGTGGATCCAGGACTTAAACCAGGACACTCCCTCTGCTCTGTGTCAGCATGTCCTTTAGTACTGCAGATGGGAGGTCCTCCAGGTGAACATTCTTTGACACAGTGACCCTAGAGGCAAGAGGCAGGCTTCCTGGCTAGCTTGTGTGGAGGGAGGACTTTGGCCCTGCTTGGAACATTTATCCTTTCCTGAAATAATCCCTGTTGCCAAGGGAAAGGGTACCACAATCAACAAACTGGGTTTACACACCTGGCCCTGCTGGTGAGTGGTGGGTTAGGTTCTCACACCAGCAGAAAGGGAGAGGGGAGAAATACATATGGGGTCACCACAAACAACAGCTACCACACGGAAGCCCTGAAGTGACAGTGCAGCCATGGGAACAGCAGGGACACAGGGAAAGGGATGTGTGGGATAAGTTCTTGGGATAGTGAATAGATTAGTTCAGCTGGAGCAGTGGTCATACCAAAGAGAACAGAGAAAAACCAAAGAGGGCAGGGCAGACTGTGGAGGGCCTTGAATACCTGCTAAGGACTCTATAGCAGCCTGATGGGAGCATGGTGACAGCTTTGCTCAGAATCTGTAGGGTGATCCTTTGGAGTTCATAAACATGATGACTGGGTATTCACGTGCACGGGTGAGATGTGCCACCCTTGAACCTTGTTATGATGCTGGTACATTACCTATCTGACATGAAAAAAATACAAATAATTTTTTTAAAAAAATCTACAGGGCAACAAGAATGAAGGTGTGAAACACCTACAAACTGTATCTTCGGTGAAATGAGGAAGTGACAAAGTTTACAAATTTCACATTGTGTGTAGTGTCACCCCCAAACCAGCACAGTAATCTACAACGTGTGGGCAGGTGCCATAGGAAACACCAGAAGCTGCACAGGAGTCCAGCTGGTGGTGGAAATTCAGCCATCCCCAGGAAAATTCAACCCCAAGAGGAGAGGACTCACCCTGGATGGGAACCACTGTGAGCAGGACCAAGAAGGAAGAGGACAAAAACACTAGGAGAGGAAGAAGGAAATCACCAGAGTGCCTAGAGGACACCCAGGTAGCTTTGGGAAGTACAGCTTCCAACAGACAGAGGAGTACCTTGGCAGGAAGGGGCAGGATGCCTCCGAATCAGAGGCTGGGGAAGGGCCAGGGAAGTTCTGGGCTTCGTGAAACCCACCCAAGTGAGGTTAGGATCCTCAAGTTAGAGGAGGTCTGGCTACACAGAGGTGCCATTCAGTAAAGAGTAGGCCTCACTACAACAGAGGAGGGAGCCCTCGAGCTGAGAATCAAGGAAAGCTGCCTCCCTTCTCACCTCACAGGACTCAATTGCTAACTGTTGGCTCAGAAAAATCCGACCCATCAAAAAAAAAAAAAGATTTTTTAAATCCACAAAAGGTTCTCCCAGAAAAAAAAAAAAAAAAAAATCTGAAAAAGAGTGGCAAAACTTCCTCCCTGCAGAAAGAAAACTCATCCAAAAAATCTTGCCACAAAGAAGAAAAAAATTTTTTTTTCTTGAGATGGAGTCTCCTTCAGTTGGGCTAGAGTGCAATGCTGCGATCTCAGCTCACTGCAACCTCTGCCTCCTAGATTCAAGCGATTCCCCTGCCTCAACCTCCCAAGTAGCTGGGATTACAGGCATGCACCACCAGGCCCAGCTAATTTTTATATTTTTAGTACAGACAGGGTTTCACCATGTTGGCCAGGCTGGTCGCGAACTCCTGACCTCAGGTAATCTGCCCACCTCTGCCTCCCAAAGTGCTGGGATTACAGGCGTGAGCCACCACACCCGGTCAGAAGAAGAAAATTTTAACCCAATATTCTATTATGATTCAAACAAAATGTAATAAGGCAATGACAGTTATGTAGGAAGATGACAAAGCAGAAATAAAGAACTCAAGGAAGGGGTGGTCAGGCAGCAGAAGGTGACAAACCACAGGAGGGCACGAAAAAGGAGCCGGCAGATTAAAAACTGCTTTAGGAAAGAAATGGGACAGAAATACAGAAACACTGCAGGAAAAAAAAAAAAACCAAATTACAAGGAACACAAGGGAGAAGAGACACTACTCTGAAAGATACTGTGGAAGACATAACAGAATTAAGTAAAATATAGAAACTTAAAATCATTAGAGAAGTGATAGGCAAATGAAACTGCATAAAGTTAGAGTCTCTGAAGAAAAACAATGGAACAGAACAAATTATTTTAAAACATGGTTCAAGGTTCAATGTTAAGCAAGGTTTGGAACTGGGATTGGAAGGACAGCTTGTCCCAGTTCACAGACCTAGATTTAGGAACCAAGAGGGGAAGGAAGGCCTGGAAGTTATCTCAGGGCTAGGGAGCCAGGAGCAGGGCAGAGGTGCTCTGCCCCGGGTCTCTAAGAAGAGGGAGTCACAAGAGTGGGAAAGGACAGTGCTGTCCGCTCCACACATCCTGATTCAGCCCAGCCTCAATTACCTACAGAATTAGGGGTTGCAGGGTGGATGGGGGTTGGGGGTAGTGAGTAAATAGTTCAGAAACAGCACCCTAAAAACTAACAAGTTACCAAATAACAGAACCAAAAAGTAGAGATTAATCTCTGTGCATCCATCACTCAGTTTATTAACTATTAACATTTTACCCTACTTGTTTCAGATGCTTTTAAGGAAATACAAATGCTACAGATATAGCCGAAGTCTATTATAAACCCCTGTGATCTCATTCATCACCTCCCCCCACCCAAGATGCCACTGTCCTGAAATTGATGACTACTTTGGTGAAGCATGCTTTTATGCTATTACTGCATAAGTATGTATCTACAACTACATGTAATTTGTATCACATGCTTTCAACTTTTATATAAATGGTATCATATTGAACACGACCTATAATTTGCTTTTGTTTTTGAAAAACATTGTTTCTGAGATTTATCCTGGTTGATACACATGGCTGTACTTCATTGTAACTATGCCAGTTTTGTTGTTGTTTTCTTTATTTTTTTCCAGACAGGGTCTCTCTCTGTTGCCCAGGCTAGAGTACAGTGGTGCAATCTCAGCTCACTGCAGCCTCGACCTCCTGGGCTCAAGTGATCCTCCCACCTCAGCCTCCTGAGTAGTTAGGGCCACAGGGGCACAACGCCACACCCAGCTAACCTCTTTATTTTTTGTGGAGCGAAGGTTGCCCAGGGTGGTCTCGAACTCTTAGTGTCAAGCAATCCTCCCATCTCCACTTCCCAAAGTGCTGGGATTATAGGTGTGAGCCACTGCACCCAGCCCCTATTAGTTCTCAAAATAAAATATATACCTAGCCTGTGACCTCACAATTCCACTCTTAGGTATATGTTCAAAAGAAATGAACACGGGCTGGGCGCGGTGGCTCACGCCTGTAATTCCAGCACTTTGAGAGGCCAAGGCGGGCGGATCACCTGATGTCAGGAGTTCAAGACCAGCCTGGCCAACATTGTGAAACCCCATTTAGTAGTCTCTACTAAAATTATAAAAATTAGCTGGGCGTGGTGGTGGGTGCCTGTAATCCCAACTACTAGGGAGGCTGAGGCAGGAGAATTGCTTGAACCCAGGAGAGGGAGGTTGCAGTGAGTTGACATGGTGCCCCTGAACTCTAGCCTGGGTGACAGAGTGAGACTCCATCTCAAAAAAAAAAAAAGTATGTATGTCCATAAAAAGGCTTCCTTGTGGACATACAAGAATGTTCACAATGCCTTTATTCACAATAGCTAATAATTTAAAAATAACAAAGTGTAGCATATATCCATACAATGGAATACTAAGCAATAAAAAGGAGCAAAGTACGGATACATGCAACAACATGAATGAAATTCAAAAACACTGTGATGGTAATGTTCCACAACCTGACAAGAGTTTGGGTTCCACAAGTCTATTTATTAAGATTATATACCTAAGGTTTATCTTTTCTTTTTCTTTTTTTGAGACAGGACCTCACTCTGTCACCCAGGCTGGAGTGCAATGGCATGATCTGGGCTCACTGCAATGTCCACCTCCTGGGTTCAAACAATTCTTGTGCCTTAGCTTCCGGAGTGACTGGAATTACAGGCATGGGTGGGTCACCATGCTGAGCTAATTTTTGTTTTTTAGATAGGGTTTCACCATGTTGGCCAGGCTGGTTTTGAACTCCTGGTCTCAAGTGATCCACCTGCCTTGGCCTCTCAAAGTGCTGGGATTACAGGTGGGAGCCACCACGCCCAGGCTATACATTTCATATTGAACTGCTAATGCTATGCATGCTAAAGTACTTAGGGAGATGTGTACTGATATATCCTGTTTGTTTTTTTTTTTTTTTAAATGCACCAGAAAATAAGATGGAATCATGGATGGATAGATGGAGAGATCTGTGATGAAGTAAGCATAGTGGATGTTGATAGTGGAATGTAGGTAGTATGGCATATGGGTATTCATTATAAAATCCTTTCAACTTTGCTGGATGTTTAAAATTTTTCATAATAGGATGGGCACAGTGGCTTACGCCTGCAATCCCAGCACTTTGGGAGGCTGAGGCCAGCGGATCACTTGAGGCCAGGAGTTGAAGACCAGCCTGGTCAACATGGCGAAACCCTGACTCTACAAAAAATACAAAAAAAAAAAAAAAAAAAAAAAAAAACTTAGCCAGTCATGGTGATGGCATGTCCGTAATATGATCTACTTAGGAGGCTGAGGCATGAGAATCGCTTGGGAGGTAGAGGTTGCAGTGAGCTGAGATCTCACCACTGCACTCCAGCCTGGGTGACAGGGCAAGATTCTGTCTCAAAATAATAACAATAAAATGTAGAGGAAATTTTAAAACATTTAACCTGTCCAAAACCAACTCCTGATTCTGTCCTACCCCACAGCTGTTCCTCTGAGTGACAGCCATTCACCCATCTAGTTGCTTGCCTTTTACTTGTCTCTGTCGCCTCAATCTATCCATCAGCACAGCTCTACTTTCAGCGTATATCCTTTGTGTGCTTCTCCCCATTTCCACCACCCAGCCTGCTCCCACAAACCATCCCCTTCCCTGCATTGCACCCATCTCCTATCCAGTCTCCCTGCTTCTACTCTTTTCCCCTGCTGGAGTCTATGCTTCACAAAGCAGCCAGCTGGATGCTTTTAAAACATTCTCTCCCACTGCATCTCCTTCCATCACCCCCTTGCTCACTACATTCCAGCCATACGAAATTCCTTGTGCACTAAATATGCCAAGGTCCTCCGGGCTTTCTGTTCCTCTGCTTAGGAAGTTCTTCCTTCCTATCTGCATGGCTTATTCTCTCTTCATAGTTCTCTGCTCAAATGTCTCACCAGGAGACCTTCCCTGAAGAGCTAACATAGCATCTCCTGTTATCTGTTACCCTGCTCCTATTTTTCATCTTAGTTCTTATTACTATCTGACATATTTATTAGTTTCTATGACACTCCCCCTCCCTTACACTAGATTTAAGCTCTAAAGGGCAGGAATTGTTAGCTTCACTGTGCCCTAGTGTTGTTGAATTAATGATTGAACTAAATAAAATGTCACCTCCTCTGTGAGTCCTCCCCAGATCACTCCCCGCCCCTGCAGTCCCCTCCGCCATATCATCTTTTCTTTTGCATCATGCTTAACAATAGTTATCCATTCCACATTTATCCTCTGTTCCCCAGTCCAACAGAACTCAAGCTCTGGGGACAGAGAACAGTGTTTCTTGGTGACTTCCATATCCTCCTCAGTGGAGAGCAGGGCCCCGGCCAGAGCACTCTGTGCCCTCCCACCTATTCCAACCTCCCAGAGCTTCTGGATTTCCATCACTGCCCAACTTTTCTGTTCTCTCTCCTCACTGTGGAGTTTCAGGAATCATGAAGGAGGTGAACTGACCATCTCTGAGGTGTGCTGTCTACGTCTCACAATCTACAATGCCTTCCTTCTTAAGGGCCCTCCCTCTGAGGTGGCAGCCAAGCGCAGCGCTGGCAGAGCCAGAGGCTCATCTGCCTAGACTCCCTGGTGCCTCTGGTGTACTCAGAGCTCAGGAGCAGAGGCAGTGCTCTGCTGCCACCCTGCTGAGCCCTCCAAGGTGCCAGCTGCGAAGCTCTTTCAAGGAAGTGTTTCCTGGAGTTAGGTTCCAAGGGCCACCCCAAGAGCACACTTCTGCCCCCTCCCCTCTATTTATTCCACAAAGAGGGCTGGGGTCCACCAGGCCGCAGGCCAGCCCTGAAAGTGACAGCCCCTGCCCTCAGGGGCTCCCTACAGCCTGGCAGACACAAGCAGGGGTAGAGGCAAGCATAAGTTGGAGAACAGATGGTATAAAGGAAAGTCCTACTTCAGAACAGGGCAAGACAACTTTCTAGAAAAGGCAGTGTTTGAGTATTAATGAATAAATGGGATCTAGCTGGGGAAAGGCAATGGAGGTGGGGAGAATTAGGTGCAGGTGCAAAGGTCCCAAGGTAAGAAGGGCAAGGGATGTGGAGAGCTCCATGTAGGGGGATCTCCTGGGCGCAAGAGATCTTGTGTGTTTAAGTTTTGGGGTTTGACTGTTAATCCAACTGGAGGCACAGAAAGGTTTCAAGGAGTGGCATCTGTGCTTTGGAAGGGCAGTTTGGCAATAGGTTGGAAGGCAGACGGCAAGGGGCAATGCATGTCAGGAAAACCAGTTAGAAGAGTATTGCACTGAAGAGAGAATGGTGTCCTGAAATAAGGCAGAGGGAAATAAAGCATGAATACGGAAATGACTTGGAAACAGAACAGAAAGGAATTTGGTGATAAATGGAGGCAGCACAGCACAGGGGAGCTGGAGTTAGACTCTACTGTGGATCTTGGGCAAACTACACTTGTGCCTCAGCTTCCTCATTTATAAACCAGGAATGATAGTCACTAGCACCTGTCTCATAGTGTTGGTGGAAGACTGAAGGAGTGAATAGTATGTGAAGGCTTGGGGTACAGCCTAGCACACTATCTTAACCAGGAAATATTAACTATGATTATGGAGCTCAGAAAAAAAGAAGAAAGGAATGACTAAGTTCACTCCCAGGATTCTGGTTTGGGCAACTACCTATGCAGTTCTCAAAGTGTGTTCTGTGGACATCTAGAGGTCCCAATGACCCTTCCACATAGTATGTGAAGTCAAAACTATCTTATAGTAAAATGTATTTTAACAATAAAATTGTTTTTAAAACTGCATCTCACCTGATTCTAATTTTAAAAATTGGCCAGGTGCAGTGGCTCCTGCCTGTAATCCCAGCACTTTGGGAGGCCGAGGCGGGCAGATGATTTGAGGTCAGGAGTTCAAGGCCAGCCTGACCAACATGGTGAAACCTCATCTCTACTAAAATACAAAGTGTTTTTTTCCTTTAGGTATGTTTTAGATAAGCATGAAGGATAAGCAAGTTTCATTAAATGGGAAAAAAATGTTTTATTCCTTTCTTGTTACGTGAGAAATACTGATTATCATTAAGCACCATTCATTTTTGCTTAGCTTCAAACGAGTCTCATGACAATAAAACCATGTGAAAAATACCTTGGTGAAAGTTTTGAACAATCTAACCAACAAGATAAAAGTATTATTGAATTATAATTCAAATTATAAAATGAATATCCATGAGTGCATACTGATAGGAATAAATGACTAAGTTAATGAATGGGGAAGAAGAGACAAATCTCTAATGCAGAATAAATTAAAATAATACAGATACTTCACCCTAAAAAAGATCACTCCTCACTCCTTAGGTGTGGGCTGCACACAGTGACTTCCTTCCAAAGAGCACAGTATGGAAAGGGAGGAAAAAGAATAATTTTACAACGGAGAAACCTGACAAACATTACCTCAGCCAGGTGATCAAGATCAACATCAATAGTAATAAATCATGATGTCGGTATGAACTCTTAGTATGATGTGGTGGAAATGGTACTTTATCTCTATAATCTTCCTCCCCAAACCCATAACCCCAGTCAACTCCTCTACTGGAATTCATCTGATGTTTTTGTCTCATGGTTAGTCTACAAAATACTTGACCAGCACTCCTCAAAACTGTCAAGGTCATCAAAACAAGAAAAGTCTGAGAAACTGCCATGGCCAAGAGGAACCTAAGACATGACATCTAAATGTTATGGTTATCCTGGATGAGATCCTAGAGCAGTAAAAAGATATTAGGTAAAAACTAAAGACATTGGAATAAAGTATAGACTTTAGTTAATAATAACACATCGACATTGATTCATTAATAGCAAACACATCATAGGGTAATAAATGTGCCATACTATAAGATGTCAATAACAGGGGAAACTGTGCATGTGTGGTGGGTGGGAGATGGGAGTGGGTATATGCAAGTCCTGTTCCACCGGATCAATTTTTCTTTAAAACTGTTCTAAAAAATAGAGTCTATTAATGTTTTTAAGAGTCTGATATTTACTGGGAATAATTCCACCATCCATCTATCATCCATCATGGTAACCTAGAGACTTAAAGTTTTGTAATGGGATATCCTACACATAATTCAAACCAGCATTTACCCAAATCCCACTATTTATGCCTTTGAACTGCTGAATACTGGCTATAAAAAGGTGAACAAAACAATTTCCGAGGCCTAGTTGGAAATAAAAGACATTTAATTTTTGTCCTGTAAGATGAGCATAACTGTAGCACAGAGAAAAGGATCTGTGAAGCTTCGACAGAGGAGATATACTAAAGAAAATGTACAGAATAAAGAAATGGGTGGGCTAAGCCTGAATTTTTTTTTTTTAAGCCTGTGCCTCCAAGAATCTTCTGGGGTTTTTTCCTCCTGAAAATGAACGTCGGAGCAATCAAAACAGTTACCCCAAAGAAGCATGGTAGAGGCCAACAGTTTATTTACCATGGTGTTTTAACTTTACATGTACAATAGGGGAAAATACTTTAGGTGAATTTTAAAAAGGATAAGTAGGAAAAAAGCAAGCTAAAAACAAACATACCCGCCCCCCGCCCTTTATTTTCTCTTTTTTTAACAGACCCACTTGTCTACTGACCAGGTACCTGTAATATGGGAGAATTCACTCTATTCCTCTCCACACAAAGAAGTCTTGGAATTTTCTAATTTCTCCTTTACTATGATTGTATTCTGTTCACATAATAGCCAAGAGTATGGCAAACGACATTTATAAGAGCAGTGTCTTTTAAAACCAATTTACTAGTTAACTCAGTACTGAGCATACATTCATCATTCAAAGATGAATCCCACAAACGTCGCTCGACATACTGGTTTTCAGTACATTTAATCAAATTCAACCACGAGGGCCACCAGTTCTGCTCACTATCAGGTGACGCTTGTTGGGAGACCCCTGACCCCTTTTCTTGACATCATGCTGTTGGACCTTTAAGCTAGCTATACCGGCAACTGCGTTTTGAGTGACTGCAAAAGGGAGGCAACTTCTGCACCGCCCAGAGCCATCCTAATCGTTAGAAATGGCAGAAAGTTTCTCGGGACTGACAAGGCATGAACTTCTCCTGATGCTGTCACCTTGGGCAAAGCTCTTACAGGTAAATTAGGGAGAGAAACAATTACTTTGTCGGCGTCACGAGACGAAGAATGGAAAAAGTGTGGAAAAGGACTTCGCCCGCCCCAAAGCGACCGTCCGGCGGCGGCTATTTCCCGGGCCTCAAACGCGTTCCAGCGGCGCAGCACAAAAGACCGGGCGGGAGCCGGAGTCGCTGGGCGCCGCCTCCCGGTGCATCTCGGGAAGGGCTCCCGCCCGCGCAGCTCCGTCTCCCCGGCGCGGCCCGCTCGCCCTCCCGCTCGCTCAGGGCCGGGGCAGACGTGGCCCGCCCGAGCTGCCGCGGGTCTCCGAGAGGGCTTCGCACTGCTCCTCCACCCGGGGGATCTTTGTTCCCAGATCTGTTCCCCGCCTCGCCGCTCCCGCCGCAAAACCTCTTTGCGGAATACCCGCTGCAAGTCTGACTTGATGATGTGCAGTTTTGGGGTGCGCTAGTTGTGGGGGCATTCATAAAGGCAGCGAAGGGACCCCTAAGTTTAAACACTCCGGGAACGGTAAAGGAAGAGCGTCAGGCCCGCCTCCTCCCAACAGCGCTCGGGCGCGAACGGCGCCCTCCCGCGCTGCAGGCTCGCGCGGGCTCCGCAGGGCGCGCTGGCGGCGGCGGCGGCGGCGGGGCGGGGCGCGGCAGGCAGGCCCGGGGCCTGCACGTGGTGACGACCGTTCTTCCCACCCGGCCATGTCCCCGGGGACCACCGCGCTCATGGGGAGGGGTAATGCAGTTCTCGGGCTCCTCTCCGAAGAGGGGTTTTACCCTCGGGGACCCCGGAATTGGAGGTGGGGACTAGAGAGGGAGCAAGGGAGGGCGCGGCGTGGCGCGAGCGTTTCCTGCGCGGGGACTGCGGGGTGGCAGCTGGAGGCCACTGCAGGGGCAGGGCGGCGGGCTGAGGGAGCGACCCACCCATGGGGCGAGAAACCCGGTAGGGGGAGCAGGGAGCCGGAAAACAGGGTTGATACATACCTGGGTAGGCGGGCTGGAGATGCTTTCCCTGAGCGTGCAGCGCAGGGCTGGCGGAGCGGGCTCTGAGTGGTTGCGGGCTGGGACTGAGGAGCGCGGAGCCGCACGTGGCTCGGCGCGCTGCTGAGCGATGTTTACATTCTGCAGCCACTCCACGTTGTGCTGCCGCCCGCGCTTCCCATTGGCCAGCTCTTCAGCCAACGCTTCTCTCCTCCCCGAGGGGCGGGCCCTCGGGTCCCCGCGTCGCTCAGGAAAGACCCGGGTTCCCTGAGGCCTTGGCGGGACAGCTAGGGCGCGCCCCAGGACGGTCACTTCCCAGCCACCCTATAGTCGCCCGAGTCACGTCGCCCTGTTATGCGCCCGGGCTGAGCTGCAGCCTGATACCCCCGAAATGCAGTGGGAGGGAGCAAGAGCAAACTGGCGGGAGATGCGGGAGCCGGGCGGTGGGGAGGCCAGCCGCGGAGAAGGAGCCCCTGAGAGTTTCCCTGCCGCCGCTGGCCGCGCCGTGGAGCGCGGTGGACGCAGGCCGAAGGCCTGGGAGAATGCACCCCACAGCCGCTCCAGGTGGCGGGCGCGCACTGAAAGCAGGGCGCGGCGCGCGGGCGCGCGGGCGGACGGGCGGGAGAGGGGAGCGCGCTGTCCGGAGGTGTCAGTCTGAGGCGCATGCGTGTGGGGCGGGCCCGGCCCGGCCTATATATTGTGTTGGCGCCGGCGCCAGCTGAGCCGAGCGGTAGCGGGTCTGGCGGTGAGGAGGTGCTGCGCGAAGGGGGGATGCGGGAGGAAAGAAAGCCCAGTTGGGCCGATCCCTTACCACAGGCGGGAGCCTCAGGGAGGAAAAACGGGAGGGCTGAGAACTAGACGGCTGGGGGTCATGGGTGCCCGCGTTCCGTCTCTGTCAGGAATCTTGGCAGGGGGCCGGGAAGCGGCAGGGCATGGAGAGCCGCCCCTCATTCTAGGGGCTTCTCTATCCCACCCTCATTTAGGGAGCTATCCCGTGGGAGAGAGAATGGGAGGCCGGGTCCCCTCCATGGGGAGAAAAGTTCCCGGCCAGCCCAGTCTCCCCTTTCTTTAGCTCCTTTTCCTGCCCTCCCCCCCGCCCCCCGCTTCCCATCTGGAGTTGGGGTCCCGGCGCCTCTCCGAGCGGCGGTAGGGCTGCGGGACCGGGAAGGAGGGAAAGGAGACTGAAGGCCGTGACACCAGTCTCGGTTCCTCCGCCCCCCGCTTCCCCGCCACCGCCGCTCTCCAAATTGGCGCGGAACCGGCTTCTCCACAGCCTTTTGCCTCCACAACCCCCTCTCCGCGCTCGTCCAGGATGGGAGGCGGGACGCGGGGGCGCTACCCAAGCCCCACTCCCGGTGTACGGGGGAGAGGGTGGAGGACCCAGAAAAACCCGTTTAAGGAAGATGTGCCTCCCTACGCGTTCAAGGTGCCAGGAGTGCTTGGTAAATTTTTGGACACCCGCGTCCCGGCTGTACATTCAGTTAAGAAAATGCAGGCGTGTATCCAAAATGAATTACCATGAGCTAGCTAACATAGCACAGAAGATGGCAGGGTCACACGGCCCAGGCCCCCTTCGGAGGGACTGAGCTTTCACCTCCAAATCAGCACTTGGAGAATGTGAATGACAATGTACTTGACTGCGGCTTTTCCTCTCCCCCCTTCAGAGGTTTTACACACCTGAAAGAAGAGAATGTCAAGACGAAGGTAACATCTGTCTTAGAGACATGTTTCAAATTAGTTGCCGCCTTTAACTTACTAATTACACTTCCTTTTTAAAAATTCACCACAGTAGCCGTTTACAAGCTAAGCAGCAGCCCCAGCCCAGCCAGACGGAGTCACCCCAAGAAGTCCAGATAATCCAGGCCAAGAAGAGGAAAACAACCCAGGTGATTTAAGGAGAAAGAGGGAGGAACGAAATGCCATGCTGGGACTTCAGTTTACCAATAGTCTTTTCTATTTTCCAGGATGTCAAAAAAAGAAGAGAGGAGGTCACCAAGAAACATCAGTATGAAATTAGGGTAATGCAGAACTGGACTGGGTGGGTTTGGGGGGAAAATGGAGGATAGACGAATAAGAATAGAATTATGTGTTTATTGCTTTGCAATAGATTCCTCTGACACTTTTACTTTTAATGCCCCTAGAGGTCAGCAGGAAGGCGCTTATCTTTGGGTGGTTTCTATGTGCCCGAATCCTACTACAGCTGCAGAGTAAGTGTCTTCAAGCAGCTGGTTCCTTTTTGTAAATCCCTCCCTCTTGGAACTGCCTGGTGCACCAGGGCCCGCCTAATCTGTCCAATATACTGCTCTTTGTTCCCTCGCAGACTCTAGTAGACGATCCTAATAGCTGCTTCTTGGGCATAAATAGGATGTGAGATCATTGACAGCCTGGCACGCAGCCCTTTGGTACCTCTTCTTCCTATGTGTTTTACAGAAAGCACTTTGGAGATAGTGATTGCCTTTGAAACCAGCATTATTGGGAAAAGGATCCTTTAAGTAATTGATTCCATTTTTAAGGTTTTGCCTTCAAATATTCAAAAGTATCAGAGCACACTTGTTTTAAAAAGAGCTATTTGGAAAAAAAAAAAAAAATGGTCCCTGCTACTATTGCTAGATACAGAGAACTGCGATTCTGTGATCTTGAAAGTGATTAGTATTTTAGACTACGGATGCATTTTATTACTGCCTCCTTCAACACCTAGTGTCTTCTATTACCAGAATTGCATTTTGTTGTCTAAAATATTCTGTTACTCTATAAAAATCAACATGAGTTATATGGCTTGTTTATAAAATATGAATGTCAAATTAGCTATATTGCCATCTATGTTAGCTAAAATTACAATTCTTTAGACATATTAGCTTTCATTTATAAAAGATCCATTATAAAAACTAAGGTTTTCCTTGCACAAATTGATATTCTTCTTTATTTTTAATGACAGAATTGTTGGCCACCTGTATTATCTGGGGGGATCAGTCCTTGCATTATCATTGAAACACCTCACAAAGAAATAGGAACAAGTGATTTCTCCAGATTTACAAATTACAGATTTAAAAATCTTTTTATTAATCCTTCACCTTTGCCTGATTTAAGGTAAGAAAAATTTCAGTAATTTTATTTCAAAGATATAAAGTTGTGCTGATTTAATACATGGCACTATTTTGTCTTTGCTGTCATAAAATAGAAAAACTCGTAAAAATTGTTTTCTTTACTAATATTTAAACATATGTCATTTTATCTGAGAGTAGTGCAAATGATACGGGTATTTAAAACACTGATTCCATAAAATTATTTTCATTTGCTTGCTGAGTACTATAAAGATTCAACAGGACTGAATTAGTTTTTTGTTAAGATAGAAACATTTTTCATGTACAGCTTTTTCCTTTAAAATTTTTATTCTTGTTTCTTGCAGCTTCAACCCAAAGGAAGCTTTTTCAATAGATGTATCAACCCTATTTCTTACCAAACTTAGTAAGGTCTATACTTCTTTTTTCTAGTCCATGAGTATACTAAAGGTACAGCTTATACAAAACATGTAGTGGATTATGATTGGCCTTAATAAGGAATTTAATGGAATCAGACACTTAAACTCACCAATCCCCCTTTCCCTGGACTCTGTCCCACCTTACCCACCCCATAGGTGATCCTGCTATAGATGATCTATTTAGAGGTGATTGAGACTTCTTGACTGTGATCACATGCTTTACGTATTTAAATTTTTGTATTGCTCTTGAGAAAACTTTTCTTTTTCACTTTTAATTGCATTTATTTTAACGCTGAATTTACTTCTGTGCCGTAAGTTTTTGTTTCTTCTGGGATATCTTTTTCTTCTGGGCAACCTCCTCTTCTGGTGTAAGAACAATTTGTTCCTTTTCACTAAAGATCATTTCGATGCGGCAGGGAGAGATCATGTATGAGTTAATCCATGAGCTCTGTAGGTCCGCTGGCAAATCGTAGGTACTTTGTTCACTTGGAGATGCTCAATGACCGGAGACTCTACATCTAAACTCTTAAGTTCAGCATTACTCTCTGCATTTTTATGCATGTGCAGCAAACATTCAGCACTCTTTGACCACCAACCTTGTGTCCAGTCCCACTGCTTGGCCTCGGCACACCTACCAACTCCACCATTGTAATGTCAGAATGGTACATGCTGTTTCTGTAAAGTGACATTTTAAAAATACTTCATGGTGTTTCTTTTTTTTTTTTGGAGACGGAGCTTTGCTGTTGTTGCCCAGGCTGGACTGCAATGGTGTGATCT